AACCTGGTGTCCGAGTACCAGCAGTACCAGGACGCCACGGCCGAGGAGGAGGGGGACTTTGAGGAAGAAGTGGAGGAAGATGCCTAAAAAAGTAACAATAATGTGTTACATGAGCTGAAGGAAGAGATCAAGTCCATTACCACAAAATCAAGCCTGTTCAGGAGAGTGCCCTGGTTCCCGCCTCCAAGGCCCCTCCACCACCCCGGATCATCGACGGGGGCCCGGTATACACGGTCAAGCAGCTACTAGCGGTCCGCAAACGGGGCCGAGGACATCAATACCTGCCCTTGAGCAAGGCACCGGACACCCCCCTTCCCCCCCACTCCCATTGCTCCCCGGGCGCTGTACAATAGCTGCCCACTGCTCCTAGTACTAGACTCCTTGTACTAGGATGGGTTAAAAGCAGAGGCCAAATTTCACTGTGTGTGTGCTGTGTGCTCTGCATGTGTGACCATTAAAGAGGGTTTCATCCCTCCCTATTCTTCTTCTTCTTCTTCTTCGAATGGGAGGGATACAGTCCTGAGGAGCGCTTATGGGTAGCTCCCGCACTTATCATTGATAAGACTCTGATCAGGGACTTCCACGATCGTCGTCCTGATCAGCCTGGGCCGCCAGGAGTCGTCCCTAGAGGGGGGGGGGTACTGTTGTGTCTCGTCAAATGTGTTAGTTATGTTTATGTATTATGTCTGTCATTTTCATGTTTTTTCACGTCTGGTCATGTCTGTTTATTTAGGTTCTTCATCTCTAGTCAGTCTCTGGGTGTTTCTCAATGTCGAGTAAAGCTGCTTCAGAGCCACTATTTCAAGCATACTACGTCATCGAGTGCCGCCGAAGTACTGTTCCAATCTCCAGCATACTTGGAAATCTACCGAGCCCGGCGTACTCCGTTTGGAGAAATATCGAGGCTGCACATGAGTAGACTTCGCGGTCTTAAAATCCCCACAATGCTTTGCGCACGGACCAATTTCCCCAAATCTGTGGCGGAAGATGTAAGGCGGGGCCTCTCATATGACGCACACCTGCACACTTGCTAGCGTGTTCCACTCTTCGTTTTCCGAATGCCAGGAAGTATTCTTGACTCGCTTCTGAAGCAAGATGCTCGGCAGACATGTGCTACCAAGCAAGCGTACTCGCGATTGAGAAACACCCTCTGTTTATTGTCATGTCTCGTTTTCCATTTCCTGTTTTATTTTGTACTTACCTCTTGTCTTTCATTTCAGGCCCTGTTTCTTCCTCCCCTTGTGTGTTTTCCCGCCATCATCAGCGTCCCTGATTGTTTCCACCTGTTCCCACTCACCTCATGTTTAAATAGTCCTGTCTCTCCCCTGTCCTGTGTCAGTTCGTCTTGTTTGTTTCCCCGAATGGTCGTGCCAAGCCTCAGCTCAGAAAAGATCGCTTTCATTCATGTCAGGTTTTGTTGTTTTGTTAATTTTGTAGGCTTAAGTTTCTTTCTTAAGTTCTCTTTTTGTTATGCATAGTTTTGCCTCCTTGTGAGCGCTTTTTGTTAATTCCAGTACCTACTCTGTTAAGAGGAATTTCCTGATCTTTTAAATCAAAGATACTTTTTTTTACATTTAAGACTTTGTCTCTGGGTCGTGCATTTGGGTCCATCAGTTTGTGTCGAGGTCCTGTCAAAATACAAAATGGTGGAAAAAGAATTGTTGTGATTTAAAAAGAAAAAATTGATCAGATTGGATAAGAAAGAAAGCACACAATCTGAATTGGACAATGGAGGGATGGAAACTATGTGAAGGAACAGGAATACATAATTAATGTGACACCATGTTGACTTCGCCTCCCAACATCTTTTTATTTACCCTTAATTCTTGCAGGGTAGCAAATGCACAAATCAGAAGCACTATGTCTATGTCACTTTGATCACGTAAGAATATACCTTACTGTTTCCTGGAGGAAAAAAAAAACACCAGGGAAAAAATAATGATGGGGGTTTATATTGGAAAGTTAAGTCCACCATGAAAACATTTGTTAAATGCTTGAATTGCTGATTCGAAATGCTATATTACACTTAAAGTCATTCACACCCCAAACAAGCTTATACATTTAGCCAAATAATCAAATTATTATTAATGACATTACTTCTTGCACGAGAAACACTAGTGTGCACTCATTGTAAAATCAAGTTTTATTCCAGGCATAAAAGCATTTAAACGTTAGAGAAGTCAAAGAATGTCACTGTTAGAATCCCTATGACTGTAGCTTAAGTTGTTTTGGGGAAACCAGGCCTGTAACCATGTAAGTGAGCCTCAGAAATGTGAAATCATGCCATTATCAGTGTTTATTGCTTTTGTGAGTTCATTACTATAGTCATTATTTAGCTTAGAATATGCACTTTAGAGATACATGTGAAATAGGTAGCAGAGTCTCCTCCCTGAGGCCTGAACTGTAGGCAAATCTACAACAACGTTAACTTTTATGGAGGAGAAGAAATGTCTCACTATTTTATTTCATTCAGTAGGTCCATAAATAAATGTGATAGATATCATAAAGATATTTTGTAACTTGATAAAACATATAATTGTTTCAGAGCCTGTGGCCAATTCAATATATTATAGCAATCATTTCAAATTCTGAAAATGTTCATTGAGACTAAAGGTCTGTTTCATTGAAAAACAAATTGTGTTAAATATGCACTTTCATCGTTTTAATGCAACAGTAGCGGTAGCAGGATTATTCTGAGACACCAGCCAACTTCATGAGGAGGATCAAGCACTGCGGGTGTCCAGAGGCCAGGCCAGGTCATAGAAAGAATATTACTTCTGGGACTTTGCAGTGATATTCATTCTCTTTATTTGAAATGTATTCAAAGAAATCGTGTTTTTTTGTCTCCAAATATCCTTCTACAATTCAAAGTCCTTTTAAGATTTGATGTATTAAGGCTTCTTGCAAAACATGCCAAAACTAAATGCTGGGTTATTTTGTTCTTCTCCTTTTCCGAAAATAAACCAAATTGGAGATTAATATTTCATTACATTCCCGTGACTAAGTGCACAATTTAATATTTCGCAAAAATGTTTACACTACTACAGTATGCATTGAAAATCAATCGGAAGTTGTTTTTGTCAGTGTGTGATCCTCAACCATGTTGTCTGTTTATGTTCCATTGTTTGTTAGTACCTTTTTTTATCTCCTGTAGAACAGTTTGTAACCCAGTGACTGTGAAACATTTGCGAGAAATAAAGAGGCATTTTGACAGAAAAACTTGTACTGTTGTTATGATAAATAGCTCTTCCAGCAGATGGAGTGAGAGATGAAGCAGGCAACGGAACTGCCAACAATCCTAAACCAGGCCCTAGCTCGCCTGAATGGGCTGCAGTCGTTTTTGATATTTGTTGTCTCTATAGACAGATATCTGCCTACATATGCAACGTCCTGGCTTCTGTTTGTAGCCCCTCTATAGACCTGTCAGGTTGGAGTAGTCTCTGGTTGAATGCAGGTGAACTTTCTGTGCCAAACGTGTTGTCTGCAATCTCAAAACCCATTGGCTATGGCCTAATGATTTAGCTTTTTATTGACTAGTTGGCTACTTTTGAAATAATCAGGTCAAATTGATGTCTCTTAACTCCATTCTTGAGTCTCAAGTTGTTTATGTTGTAATGTCTTATAATGAGCTCAGCCCCCTCCTTTTTTTCTTTAAAAAAAAAAAGCTTTATACCCCAAATCAGCACATTTTAAACAGGAAACCCCAAATCAGCACATTTTAAACAGGAAGTGAAATAGAGGGATATGAGGCATGGCTAGAATGGGTGATCTGTTTGGTATTTTGAGCAAAAACACTTCATAGACATGTTTTTTTATATATTTCTATATATCTGAGACCTATGCTATTGCCTAAAAATAGCATGATAGGTGACCTTTAAAACCCAATATGCCCTCTTTAAAGACCAATTTAATTCCAAATTGTTACATATGAGCAGTTTGGGAACTTTAGATGTCTTTAATAAATGTTGGAAAATATCTGTATAAAATGTGGTTATGTTACTCCTTAACCTAATATGGCCATAACAATTATCGTTAACTTTTCTCACTTATTATCAAATGGGGGAAAAGTCCCCATGTGCCAGTGGCTAAATTCAGGACCTTGGACAGCACAAGCAACAACAACAGAAACTAACATTTACATAATCTGGACCTTTCACAGCAGCACCAGGTTGGGAAAGATTAGGACAGAGGTAATAACATTATTAGTTTACTGCTGCTGATATTACCAACATACCCTACACAAGTAAATGCAATGGTCCCAAAAGCATTGATATAACACTTCAGGGATGATGGAAAAATGTGAGGATTGTGTCCAAGTGTGCCGGTCTAGGGGAGGATCCCCTCTTCGAACTAGGGTCTGTTTGACTACGGCCCAATCCCAAACCGCCCCCTACACCCTACCCCTACACACTACCCCTCCGTTTGCGCGTTCGCGCGGAGGGTCCGCCACATTAAGTGCTGTTCCAAACCAACGAGTGTGGAGAGGTGTGGAGGGGGAGTGGGCTATCAAGCCCTCAAACAGCGAGTCTGCATCGGTGCTGACTTGAGACCGGCCTCTACCTGACCGGAGTCACGCTGTGTGTGTCCGTCAGGAAACACGCTGTTTACAAGTAGTTCCAGCAAACATCCACTGATAAATTGCGATGTTAACAACCTCATATATTTTTAACTGAGGATCATACCTGTGTTTAGTCTAGAAAAAGGTAAATGTGTGCATTTTATTATAAAGTTGTGTATATTTACAGACTGTTGCAAAAACTAAGAAGCTTATAAACATCAGGTTTAAAACTAAAAGAGCTTTACAAAAAAGTAACACAATGAAAGATGTTTGGAGTTTTATTTGAGTTCTTAATTTACATTTTTTGTCTAAGAGATGCTGATTTGAAACCGTTGTTACATACAGTTACGGCATTTCCTGTTTCTGCCGGAGAGAGGGGAGTTTGTCCCAAAGCTTGCCGCTGTATTTACTCCCTCCATCTGACAGGAGGGAGCCTCGTTGAGCTGCGAGTGTGGCTCCAGACGGAGTTCACTCCGCCACGGAGGGGTAGGGTCGAGGGAGTGGTTTGGGATTGGGCCCAAGTGTGAGTGAACAGCACATTGGAGAAGTCGTGCATGTGTAATGGTCGCCTGCAGAGCGGCTGTGGCTCCGAGACAGAATTGACGATACCGGATGTTCCCGAGCGTGGCCGAACTCGACTGGTCCATAAAACCGACATTAGCCGAAACACTTCCTCTACTCACGATCATAGAAGTCTGATGTTGTCGGGTTTTGGGTGGCGGGGTGGACGAGATTAATGAAATAAAGATTTTGAAGAAAACCATCACTCCTCAGCCCCTCCCAGCCCAGCGATTTTTGGCTTCGAAGCTTGACAAAGGTAATAATTATAATTGTATATTACGGCACTTGGTCTTTTTTCCTTGAATATTTCCTTCATACGGGGAGCTAGTGGGTTAAATTCTGCAGTTTTTTTTTCCTTTGCTGTTTCACTTTTTGCTTTATTGAGGTATGATCACATATGGCAGTAACGGATGATTTAGGGCGTGTAACCAACAGCAACGCGGCCAAGGCGTGCAGGATGGCAGCAATTACACAAAAATAAAACAATTAACGCTTCATAGACACAAAACAGAGGCTTAAACTTTCTTATTTCCGGGCAAAATGGATACAATGCACAGTTTAGAGACAGGAATCCAAGCCTTGCTCAGAGCAGACATTGTTTCGTAAGGTTTTCGTGCACCTAATGACCCCCTTCTTTCTCAATATTGTGTTAATTCTGTAGCTACATTTTCTGCTGCTGTCTATACGGGATTTCCACCGTATTTACACTCGGATGCTTAGAAGTAGTTTTTTTATCCCACGATTTAGAAATGATTTCATATGTTGCCCAGGCTGTGGTGCATTAGCATGCCCGGTGTGTGGGATATACCCGTCTGGATTGGGGTATTTTCTGGTCCATCCCTGTGGAAATGGTTACGCAATGTAGGCTACTTTGGCGCTACGGCACACATTAGAGCTGCTGACTAAGTATTTGTCACATAGAAGAGTCCTTAGTGATAAACCATTACAAATGAATATCATCTTCAAGTGGAACAGCCTATGAGATTCATTTTGTAACAAATATCGTCCACCGATAGGTATGATGCTTTTCCCCCTTAATCTTCAGTTTAAAGAAAATTGTGGGCTCACTGTAAATGCTAGTGTCTAAAACCTTTCATTCTCTGAAGGAATATAACAGCTGAAGCAGAGAGTAAAGGCTATTTTCCCACACTAAAATTAATATATTATGCTCAGACTTTCAGTGTCTGACTGTGGTAATACATCCAAATTCAAATTCAAAAATTCAAAAGCTTTTATTGTCATTGTACAGAATACAACGAGATTTATAGTTTACTGCTCCAGCGAGTGCTTTAAAAACAGACATATTGAAACACAGATGAAAAGGTCTGACAGTTACGACCAGCAAGTAGCGCACACAGCTTCGGATCGTCATGTAGATGACCAGGATTAATAAATAAATAAATAAATGAATACAATAGAATTATGATAAAATATATATGATAAATATTACAGTATATAGCCTACATAGAGACAGACCATGATTATTGCACAGTGGGGATATGGGGGGTTATTTTTGTGTGTTTAATGTCCTAATGGCCCCACTTCCTTCCATTCTTTATTCATTATTTTCCTCTCCTCCATCTTCCATCCGGACACCCCCTGGGATAGCTCCCATTCATGCCGGTCGTGACACACCCTTGGCTGCACCAGCAGCTGCTGCTGGCTTTATGGGCTGCGTAAATGGTGAGGAGGGGTGTTGCAGAAAAGGAAAGTGCAAGTGCCGAGGGGGCACCCACTTTGAAGGTTGATCTCACTATGAAAGGTTCATGTAAATTAGCAGCTAGCAACATTAGTAGAGAGAAAAAGTACAGGGCAAACCTATCAAATCAGCTAGGGGCGACATTTTTATATTATTAACAACTTTATCAGACTTAGAGGAAACAAATGGAAAGATATTTGAGGAGAGAGGGACAGCCAACAAAAGGGAGAGAAGGCAGCACAAGTGTTTCAGAGGAGAAACAGAGAGAAGCAGAAGGATGAGAGAGACTGTAACCAGAGGAGGATAGAGGCATGATGCTCGTGTGGGAGAGGAGAGATGAGGGGGAAAAAGATCTTCAGTCCGTCAGTCACGATGGATGTGAGGCTGATAAGATCATCCTGAAAGATGTAACCTCCATGCCTCTCACCATGAGAGGCTGCTGGATGTGTCCCACACACAGTCCAGTAAAGGCTGAGTGTCCTGCAGTTCCATTGATCTAACTGCTCATAACACGAGTCAGGAGAGCAGTGACCCATTTGGAGTCAGATGTTTGAAATGGACATCACACCCTCAGGCAAAGGACAGAGGTTACATTGTTAGCTCAGGCTGCTGAGCTTATTTCTTTTCAGGACACCCCATGGTCAACAAGCTAGCCCTAACCCTCCCTTCATGAGGCAGCCAAGAGTTAATTAATTCAAAAATAAAGAGTCAAGTTCACCATCATCCCTTCAAATGATTTAAAATGTTAAACAATGTCTTAATCCAGTTGTTTTGTAGATAACAGATGAAATATAAAAATATTATTTTCAACCCATTCACCTTCAAGCAGCCACATAAACACACTTCCTATAGACACATATATATAATTCTAGTCCTGCCATGCCCCTTTATTAATCTTTGTTTGTTCAGGTTAGCATAACCTCTTTGGGTTTTAAGGAGGAACCGTTTAACATGATTAGGCCTCTACTTGTGTTTAAAGGGGTCCTATCATGCACATTTTCAGGTTCATATTTGTGTTTTTTGCCTATTTTATGTTGTAGCACCTTTTTTCACCCTCTGTCTGAAACCAGAGCCCAGCTGTCTCTGATTGGTTAGCTGGCCGGCTCTGTTGTGATTGGTTAACTGCTTCGAGATGTCCCGCTCCTTAGCCTATGACGTACAATGTGTTGGAGTGCTAGCCAATAGAAGCGACAGTTTTCACTAGTTTCTGTTTCAAGAAGGCCATTTACATGCACACAAATCTGTATAACACACAGCAGGAAAGGGAAAAGCACCAAAAGCACAATAGGGCCTCTTCAAGTCATATTCTTTTAATGCATAAGGAATACACTTTTTGCACTCAGACGAAAATATTTTTGTCAAACTCTGATTGTTCACTATTAACTTCTACGTACTTCTTCAGATGTTCAGTTGTCTTCATCTATAAATCAAACCTGTAATTTACGTCTTTGCAGCACTCAAGCACTCACACATACAATAAGCTAATGGCTCTGTAGATGATGATTCAAACCAGCTTTGCAGGCCACTGATTAGAACATATGCTATGATTTCTGTGCTCTGCTCAGGGACTGAAAGCCTCTTGAGCTCTTTTTCTGCCCACTTAAATGCTAGGGCGTCATTTGGCAGTGCGTTTGTTGATGTGCACGGTGAGATTGGCTTTTTATTCTTTCTTTAAATAGCACTCTTATCCTTCATCTGAAGAAACTGGCTGAGATTCAATGGCTTTTGATTGTTCTGAGTGAAAAGATGCGGTTATTGACTTTGTTCCCTAACACTGCAGTGGAGACAAACAGGGACATCTACATTTTGCTGCCGGACTGTGAAACCTGCTTTATATTTGATATCTTTTCGCAGGATGGAAACTTCAGTACAGGACATAATGAGGCTGGGGCTTATCTAATTTTAGTAAAACATACAATCAATAGACCTTCCATATACATAAAGTTGTACTGTACACAAACAAAGTCTTTTCAGTGTTGAGAGGAAACAGCCTGATTTTATTTGAGTACAGCATCATGTCACAATCCCACACTGTCAGATCTTTTATGCCAGCCTATAATACTCTAATACTCACATGACCTCATATACATCAGAATAGCTATAAGTTGTTTAATCAACTTCCTGAAATGACTCCCTTCTAACTTCCTGTAAAGAAAGCATGTCCCGTCTTTCTGCTAAAATACTTGAGCCAATATGATGCTTCAGCAGTCTGATTTAGACATATTGAGTGGGTGTCTTGGCAGTGATGTGCATGTTTGTTTATTTATTTACACATACAGAGGTATACAGTAAATATATATATATCATTTGCAAGAGAATACGTTGGAGAAATGCCTGCAGAGGAGCTTGAAAAGTATCATTCTACAGGTAATATAGTAAAAAGATACACTTACAGTAGCTGAAAACAATGCATCCTGTTAAATGTAAATCTGTTACACTCATAAATTGTTACCTGTGTTTTCTTGGCAAAAAAACGTCCAGGTTATATTCCTCCACTGTGGTTTACTTTGGGAATAGTGAAGAGTGAAATTCATTGAAGATTTTTACTTTCAAAAACATGAGGGGATACACGTAAAAATAGAGCAAAAAAGAGCAAAAAAAAAGAAGCAAATAGTATCTACTTAGACAAGAAAGAATACAGCAAATTTGCATTTGAATATCTTTCTTGAGTCAGATAGTCACTTTTCTGTAGTTTCCCACTCTTTCACAACCAGGGTTGGTGTTGATCAGAGGGCTCAAAGAGAATCCATTGTGCTTCTTGGGGTTGTCTCTTTCCTGTAGTGTGTTATATAGATCTTGGTGCATGTAAATGGTCTGCAAAGGCTAACATCCCTGTGGGAGTTTCTCTTTCACACACTCCCCCTCCATTGGACACCTTTGTTTACTTCTGTGACATCACTCCATAACACTTTGTCTTGTCTCTATTGGCGAGTGCTCCCACACATTGTACATGATAGGCTAATGGGCGGGACATCTCTGAGCACTTGACCAACCACAACAGAGCCGGCCAGACAGCGAATCAGACCAGACTGGGCTCTGGTTTCAGACAGAGGGTGAAAAGAGGTGCTGCAGCACAGGCAGTATGAGAAAAATAAAGAGCTTTTTGAACATTGAAGCATTTAAACATGTCACAGTAGTCACAAAATACTAATATGAACCTGAAAATGAGCATAATAGGGCCTCTTTGAAGAAGAATTGTTAGTAATGCAGTTTTAAATTCCAGTCTCTCCAGCTGATTGCCACGGTCTCTGCGCCTAATTATCCCACCTTAATAACTCTGTGCTATACTGCTCAGTGTAATCCAGTGCAGCAGTACTGACAGGTTAGAGGTCCCTCAGGCCAGCTGGCTGCTGTCCATCTCAGCGTCCCAATGGGACCTACTCTATCCCTCTCTCCCTCTCTCCCTCTATCCCTCTATCCCTCTCTCCCTTTCACCATTTCTCTTCTCTTCCTTCCTCCCTTTATTGCTTCTCTTCCTTCATCATGTCTTTCTCCGGTGTGTGGTCTTCGTCATGATAGCTGCTCTTGAGCTCACCACACAGCTCCATGTCTTTGAAACACACATTCTGCTTTTAAGATGCTTTATCTATAAACATTGGCTTATATTCTACCTTACAGCAACACTATAGATTTTCTTTTCAAGCTGTATTGGCAGTGCTCTCCCTCAGGTATTTGAGCCAATTTGTGAAAAGCTATTTAGTGCAGCAGGGTGATGCAGGGTGGGACTTCAACTTGAGGACACAGATTGAAATTGGCATGCTTCTACTCTGCAGAGGTCTATTTAATCAAACACCCAAATAGGCTACCCATTTTACATTTAGTAAGTTAACCTGATCGTATGGCAAATGACAATGAGGTAATTATAGGAGGTTCTTTTTTTACTAAGTTGTAATTGGATCATTTATAGACATAATCCTGCTATAAAATGCTTTTCTTTCATTTACGTTTTTTTTAATTGGTGTGTGTTATGTGTTTCTATTTTCCAGACACTGACCATTAAAGATGAAGGTAATCAGCGCTGCAGTGTTGAGCGCCCTGATCTGCACGGGTAAGCACAAACTAAATCATTCACTTGGGAGTGGGCTCAGATAAACGGCTGAAGCAGACTTCCTGCAAAGCTGACTCCGATTAACTGAATAATAAGCTCATACTGTATGAAAACCGCACCAAGGAATTTATTTTGTGATCTATTTGATTATTATTTGGTGCACTTTCCTTTTCAATACTTTCTTATTGTTTCAGGAAGTGGTTTTCTACTAAGAACAAAGAAAATCTGACTTATTTTAAGAGATTGTACAATAAAAGACAACAAAAGAAACAATATATTTTAAAACGAACACACTTTCTTGTCTTTTTGCAGCTGTGGCCTCTTTGAAAGGTAAAGTTGCACCACCAGAGGAACACCGGACAGCCTTCTTTGGGGAGGATATTCAAATCAACGTCCCGTCTGGGAACCTTAGTGAGGTCGTGTTCAAACCCAGGACCAACGGCTCCGCTGAGGTGGTTCTGCTGCAGGCGGGCCAGGTGGTGAGTCCCAGGGCCCGCCTCAGCTCCCCGGGCCACCTGGTGCTGGAGGGCATGCTGGAGGAGGACGAAGGGGTGTACGTCATCAAGAACACGAACAGCCCCAACACCGCCAAGCACCTCATCATCATCGTCAGGGGTGAGCTCTCTGTGCACTCCTATCCAGAGGCAGCGCTAGAGTGTGTTTACCAGCTTGAGGTTGGCTGTTTAAAGTCTTTTGGAATAGTAGTTCATCTTTAAAAAAAATCTCTTTTGATTGGTGAAAACAACTTTATTAGTCTTTGGTGTCTTATCTAGAAAAAAATAAACATATAGAGAACTATGGAAGGATGGTGCCAAACAGTCACATATGCTTGTTTATTGGATATACCAGATCGTGGCCCTAAGGCACAACTAGCTTCAATCTTTATCAACAGTATTATTGGAATATTTAGGACTACAAAAATGTGTAGTCCTAAATGTACATATATTTTGTAGACCTAATGATCATATAATAATGTATGATATGATCATAAAAAGAGTAAGCTGTGTGCTATCTCACTGTAGCACTTTTTTGTTTTTCTTTAATGGTTAATAATTGGTTTATGGTCCATTCAAAAAATATAAAATACTGATACTAAATGAACATTAATAATTAACACTTCATTGTTTTTTAATAGTGAAATAACAATTAGCTTACATTTAATAACAATTTTAATTAAATTGCCATTTACAAATGATGGTTATTTTAAAGTGTTACTCAAATTGGCAAAGATTAGATTCTGTAAACCCCAGAAGATTGTTCAAATTAAGGAACCAAGCAACCATAAAAACATTTGACCTTTCGCACTCAGCTCAACAACATAGGCGATCTGCCTTTCACAAACGTTCCTGCTTTGACCTTTATTTCCTCTGGTCTTGTTGATCAGACTGCGCTTCGGAGCAGGTGGTGAAGTATGGAGAAACTTACCAAATCTATCTCAACCAAGTGGAAGGCCCCATCACTCTGGAGTTCAGGTACGGTCAGTGAAAGCATAACAAGAAAAACAAGAATGCATGAATGGAGTCATGATTATTACAGATTATTTATCCAAATTTAGCAGCCAGCACTATATATAATACATCTATTGTATTGCATTGTAACGTTGTTGATCTGTATAGTAACTGTTACATCAACTCCAATAGCTGCAACCATCACAAGAGTCTACAACAAACAGGCTATGAAGGGGGCGGGGCTTATGTGTAGGAGGCAGAACAGTCTATAACAAATGTCTCAAGAGCTTGGCCTGTTTTGAAGTATAGACCACACTCTTCTTCTTGTACCAAATTAGCATGACAAAAACACTTCTTTTCTGATGAAGGCTGAAATGTGGCAAAAGGTTCAAAACAACTGGTGGACAAATGTTGGGGATATTTTGATTTAGCTGGGTATGGCTAATGAACAGGAGAGATATCCTGCTGCTTTGCTGAATGTTCACCACTGGCCAATCAGCAATTAGCATGAAAACACCTGCTGTGACATCACTGATTGGGCTGAGAAGGATTTACCCTGATTTCTCATGTGGTGGTTTAACACTCATTCACTTCCTTTCTCTCCGAACCTCAGGCCCGCTCTGACTCCGCCCAATCAGACGGAGATACATCACACCACCGAGCCCCCCCCCCTGGTGCTGTACAACCAGACGGAGGTGCTGGCCGAGGAATACGTGGGGCGCCTCATTGTGTCGGAGAAAAAGGTGACACTGCACTCGGTCAAGGTGACGGACGAGGGGAGCTTCACAGTGTTGGACCGTGAGGGCAAAGTGAAAAGCAGAAACTGTCTGAATGTGAAAGGTGAGGAGAGATTTATGCTCTGCTGCATCGGATATATTAATCATATGTGCATGTTTTTATAGTTGTTGCAATACTAGGGAAATTAAATATTATAACTGACAACCGAGATACATTGGCTTATTTTGCTATCTTGATTGCTTTGGTGTTAGTTGAAACATGTAGGAGATATAAACCGTAGATATATCTAACTTCTCTCCAATTTAAATGAACATAATGATTATTTGCTTGTGGTGCTATATAAGCCAACAAAATGTTTTTGAAAAACTCACAGATATCTCTTTTCAGAAATCATGACCTGAATGTAGTTTAGTTCCTACAGTAAACTGCTCATGAGGCTCCATACATTTTCTGTGGAGGAGGAAGTTCTGGAAAGAGATATTGCTGAAGTATTTTATGGCACTTTGAGCAACCAAAACAAACATTTGAATCTTTGATTTTAGGTCACACTCTCCCTTTTTAACAAGGCTATCCACAGCCATACTTGATGTTCTTTGAGGATATTCTGTTGTACATGTGGTTTGAGCTAAAGTTCAGTCTGGTACATATGGTCGAAATTATACATATAGAATGAATTAAACATTTCCGGAAGCTATTAAAATGTGTATCATTGACTTTCCACATTATCAGACCAGCAGGGGGCAGTTCAATTAAATCAGTTTTGAAATGTTTATGCTATCAGCGCTAACGGTGAATAGCTAGCATCTTTAGCTATTAGCTTTTCACGCGAACATAATGAACTGGCTTCCATCAAAAGAAACGTCTACAAATTAGTCTACATTATCATCTGCACATTGCTAAGCCAGCTATTATAACCGTTGTATTTCTTCACACAGAGCACCAGGAATTTCTCCACCTCACCCACGGAGAAAACCAGAAGATAAAACTCTACCTGCACCACTCCAACGCTAACATTGTCTACAGGTCCGAATCTGACCATAAGGAACGGCCCATCCTGGTGGAGGGGGTCATGGTGACGCCGCTGGACCCTGAGCTGGAGGGCAGGCTGAGTGTGGAGGGGTCGGAGCTCATCCTGAAGAAGGCCACCTCCACAGACACGGGGATCTTCACTGTGACAGACCTGACGGGCTTTACTGTGGCTCATGTCCACATAAAGGTTGAAGGTAAGATGGAGAAAACACTGTTGACAGATCTGCTGTTTAAGTGTCTGTGACAGACCTCACCTACCGATCCTATCTCTATGACATGTACCATTGCTAATACATTTATAATATGCGTTAGAATTAGAATAGGAGGGATGAAACCCTCTTTAATTGTCACACATGCAGAGCACACAGCACACACAGTGAAATGTGTTCTCTGCTTTTAACCCATCCTAGTACCAGGAGTCTAGTACTAGGAGTAGTACCAGTACCAGTTAGTGTGGTTTGATGGAAAGTAAGTATTTCTCAGAAATCTCTTACCAGACATCGGAAACCAGAGTTGAACATTTGAACTAATCTCATTTTTTACTCCTCAGCTTGAGTAAGCTTAGGTTTCTTCACCAATTCTAGGAAAGAAGGCCTTGTGATTTTGACTAGGACGGTTACAACCTCAAAAGATGACCTCAAAAGAACAATTAAACATTTAAGAATTTAGTTTTCATATTTTCAATTGAGTTAAAAGAAGTTTAAGCTTTCGACTTTGTACCTGACTTAAACTTTTTGTATTTTTATTTTATTTTTTGGATCTTGTAATCCTATACAACCGGTTTGTACTTTTTACATCTTGACCCAATTTGTGGTCTCTGGTGGTCTCTGAAGGTTTCTGCTTGGTAAGGTAAGAACTGAACACCCTTCCTTGGAAAAGGCTGACAGAAGTTGATCATTTAAATTCCAAATGTTGGAATTCAAATGTGGAAAGTAGAAACCATGCGAAAGATAAGCTATCGTTTCATATTGGTAACTGTGGTTGATTTGGTTTTGATTGATGCTGAAATATGATTTGTGCTTTGCTGGCATTGTAAGATCACAGCTGTAATATTTATGTTTGACTTTGGCTTATGCTCAGTTTGTTAGATTATTAAAATTGAGATAATTAAGATTAAAAAAGGGGGGTTAAGGAATGAGTGTCCCAACCGACACAGGGTTTCTCCTCCAGGGGCAGTTTGATACTGCTCTGGGGTTCTACCAGCCCACCAACACCTACACTACACATTCCGTTGATATCCTGGCCGTCGGACATGCAACGTTTTAGTGCCTGAAATAAGTGATACAACAGCAAACTATAGTGTTTGAGGCCACGCTGTGAGTTGCCTCCCTAAGCAGGTGGTCTTACGTGTAGATTTTAGCGGGAACGTTGTAAACCTAGGTCGGAGGAATAAGGACAGCCGTTTTCCGATGCCTTTTCAGCATCGGAGCTCGGTATCAGAAATGACTTAGTTATATAGGGTTATATCGAAGTTAGATATTTTTCAACAATATTTTTATGAACTAACATGCACTATATGTTCAATATGTTCTCTGCCTTAACCTAGCCTAGCAACCATCCAACATCTGCTAGGCTACGCATACAACTAACCTGCATCGGTTTATATACTGAAGAAAGATTAACAGTGATATCTTATATAAAAAATTAAAAAAGCTTCTAATAGATTGTGTTGAAAGACTTTCATACAGTAGGAATAGTGTAGTGGCAGTCAAAGTAATGCATCTTGAATAAGTATACAAGCAGGCTGGCACATCCTGCATAGCTGTGAACTCAGAGCTATTTTGAAACCATTGAGATCACAAGTGTCAGTGAACACAGATCATCTCTTAAAATAATACTCCTCCGATTTAGCTTTGCACTCATAACACTGTTGGACCATTGACAGGATCGAAATCAAAGTAACAGAAGAACTCCACACCCCCAGTCCATTGCTGTATTCTATTGCCTCTTTTATATAGAGTGCCATTTGATACTTTACAGCTAAACTCAGTATTAGGCTAGTCATAAATGTAATGAATGAAGCTGTCATAATAGCAAAACCACAAGAAACAGATGACAGATGAGTAGCTTTACTACACAGTTTGAAGCAGCATTTATGCATGAGGTCACAGTAGGCTGATTATTTTTCTCTGTGTTTGTGGTTTCTCCCCCCCAGCCTACAAGCTGCCTCCTCTGACTGTAGCCATCCTGGCCCTGATGGGTGTGATCGCCTTCATGCTGCTGCTCTGCCTGCTGTCCTGTGTCTACAGAGTGCACATGAGGAATGAGAAGGACAAGAGGGTGATTCTGCTCGCTCAGCAGGCCGGCAATAAAGAAGGAGAGGCTTTCAGACAGGTAACATCCACCTATTGTATTACCGTCTTCATGTCTTATGGATGGAGGAGTGTTGTAGGGTCACTGAGATATAAATAAGAAAAGGCCCTGGTGGAACAGTGGATCTTTAGGCTGAATGAACATGTGTCACGTGGTGAAAGTAAGGTCTGTTTGTCTGCTGCCAAAGGATTAAAAGGTAGAACAGGATGTTCCTGTTGTTGGAGATAGGTTGGCCAGCTGGTACAATCCCCCCCTACTGAGATCATATGGTACAGTCCAATTAAAGACAACCACAATGCAGCAGAAAACTCACAAGAAATATAGGTTGCAATCAAATTGTCTTTTTAGCTTAGGAAGGTTCCTAACAGAGGGATAAACCAGAAGGAATCTAAGCTGCATCTCGGATCAACGTTGATTGAATCCTCTAAATGCAAAGTGGTTGAGTGGGTTGATTTATATTTAGTTAAGGCAAACTGGACCACAATTGATTGCAGCAGCAACAATTATATTGACCCAGCATGTGTCTGTAAGAAACATCTGTCCTTGTTGTTTAATGTACAATATGGAAAATGTCAAGGTGTGGACTCAAGTTCTATTTGTTATAAATATATTAACTTAAAAAATATATATCCTTGGTCTAGTTAATTGGAAACAGACTTTCCTTAGCATTGTGGTTGTCTCTTTTGTGCTCAGGAATTCTCCCTAACAACTTGCTTCATGCTTAACACTTTTCCACAGAGGAGAGATCGAGAAAATGTTTAGTATTTCTCGTTCAGCTCCCTGGGTCTCTTTTTTCTTCTTTTACTCTTACAGTAAAACATATACATTCAAGGAACAGAAGGGATTCATGTGTGTGGTATTAAAGTAAACGACTACAGCTCTGCCAGTTATTGCTTACTAATTTACTATGAGATGGAGACTCAAGCCTGAAACATACTGCATTCAAATGTGGAACCTTTGAGCTGTGGCAATCCACTTTCACACATTTTGACACAGCTCACATTTTGACACATGAAGAACAAGTTACAGTCTCTATAGTGTCAGTGGTAGTGACAAGATTTTGGCACACATATTATATTGTATCAACATTTTAAAATGGTTTCTTTGCACAGGGAATTCCTGGGTAGTAGTTTTGTCATATAAATGACTGAATGTTGCTACAATAACAAGCACCCTGTGTCACATAATAAAATCCCTTTTGCACTACTTTATTACTCATTTTAATTTTGAACTATTAATCAGTTTTTAGATTGGGTGTATTTTTAAATGGTTGAATCGCTACAGAAAGGCTTTTGAGAGTCAGTCATTTTCAGTCGTTTTAATTTTAATTTATTTTTCACAACTCTTCAATTAGGAATTACATTTGACGACTATCAATGCTTGAGCATAAGTACACAACAAACAACTAAAATACACTTCTTGTTTTCTATTGTTTTCTATATATTTGTATTTGAAAATCTTTGCTCTGCCTGTTATCACCTACTGGCTGGACTGACCGATGGGATGATGAAGAGGAGTTGACAGTTAACCTTTCTGACACTACGGCCCTCCTTTTAGCGTCCACAGTTGGGGTTTGTTAACCAACTGAATGTATAGAAGATCAATTAAAAGCCCATTACACACTGATGACTCGGCTGTAAAAAAACACCTAAACATCAGATTCAGATATTGATTGTTCCACAGAGGGACGCCATATAATGTTTAGTTCAATACAGGCTCCATTGTTAACAGAGATATGTCCAGATGTATTACATGAGTGTTTAAAAGAAACTCCCTGTATACCTCAAGTGTTGCTTTTCAAAGTCTGCCTGTCTTATCTTATCACCAATGATCATTTTCATATAATTACAAATCGATGGGACTGATTTATCAAAGGTTATTTTAGACGTCTTATAATCAAAGTTTATAATCAGAGTACTGTTTTCCAAAATGAATGATACATTTAATGATTTGATCTTTAAAAAATCCCCTCTCTCTCCAGCATCCACAGTTAATATTCTGAGAGACAAATTGTAATTGTGGTTCAATTAAAACTCCCTGGAGTCACAATAAAGGCTTTCTTGGATCAATTGACTGTCTTTGATATCAAATTAAGTGATCATGACTCCATAGATAATCCGGAAATTGAATGATAATAATGGAAATAATAGAAATGGTCTGATTGCGGCTTTAAAAGTTCTGGTAATAATATAATAATTGATCCAAACCACAGAGCTAGAGTGGAAACTGGTGTGAGATAAACATCATGTGCTGTTGCAACACATAGTAGCTAACTTTAAGTGGAAGATAATACATTTTTAATCGCCTCTCTGTGATGGATATGGTGATGTCAGGTCATATAATACTCCAAAACATGTGATCCCAACTTAGAGAAATGTAGATGTGGTTTGAAGAAATCAGGACTGAGACTTTTGACTTGAGTTCACCAACAGAGGCCAGAATTTGAGAGAAATTGAACAAATAAAACAACGGGCAGGTGCACCAGTTATTTACAGCCTTTGAAAAAGTGAGTATTTGTGTGTGATGACACATTAATGTTACTTATGTTTCTCTGTTCTCTTTTTTTCCCCGTATAATTGTATGTATGTTGCAGTGGATTTGTATTGTTTCCATAGATTCAGATTTCGCCGAACCTATATAGACATGCAGGCAGGTATTAGCTGACAGTCTTGTGAGGCTGTTAAGATGCAATATTCCTTATTCTGTCTTTTTAAGGTTGCTTCACATTTTTTAAATATAACTTCAATTCAACTATTTATATCATTCAGGGTCATGTGTTTGTATTTATGTATGTTTGTTTTTGTTTTAAATAATATATGTGATAAGTTTCTGATGTGCCTCTTGGTTCAGCTTGAGTAAATTGAAAATAAAGCTGTGCAGACTTCCTGCTCCCAGCTGGATGCCTGTGGTCCGTGGCCCAGCTAACGCTGTTGCCTGTGCGTTACGTTTCTCCCTCTTACTTTAAGGAGCCTCAAACGGAGCCTCTTCTTGGTGAGACAATTGTGTTCTCGCCTCCTTTTTTTACTACCCTTCCTTTGGTGTCTAGAGAAATGTACTCTCCTTTTTTTTGACAAAATAGTTCCTTGATCAACTTTTGACAGTTTAAGAAATGTTTGTTCAGTATTAGGTAAATCGTGTGGTTTTGAGACGATACAAATCCATCAAAGAAATGGCCCACCAACACACTAAATAAACCCTGAACACCGAGGACAATCTGCTATCCTTCTAAATGAACAGGCAGAAGTTGATCGAAGGCCTACTTTGAGAAAAAGTCAATGAATTACCTTAAGTGGGGCACCACCATCTGGGACAATCCGTGTCTGGGATCTTTAAAGAGTTTTCAAATGACTGAGCTTTGTCCAAGTATACCTTACCTACAAATATAAGTACATAAGGACTAGAAACCAACAGCTGCCAGGAGCCTGTGAAATCATTAAAAAATGATGTTACACAGTGTTGTTGTGTTTGTTGTAGTTGATGCAAAAACACGAGTATGGTCAACAGCATGGGAGGCAAATGATCAGTGCCCAATGTCTGTTAGTTTGACAAGCTCAGTCATGAGTGTGAATTATCTGCAGGGATTTTAGATACGGTTTTGGAACCAGGTCGGGGTGCAAACTGCCAACATTTCCATTTTAACAAGTAATTCAATCTAATATTGAACTATCAAAATCTTACGTTTCTTAAAAAGAGTGACACTCTGCCTTGCTCAAAGACAGTCTATGAAACAAGCAAATGGAGAGTAGAGTTGTTCACTTGCTTTAAGAAAATAAGGTTTTAAACCTAAGTATAGGTCCTGAGTGACTAATTAAGATGTCTAAGCTCTCCTCTATATTGGTGTGTGTAACTGCAGCTGAGCAATGATTTGAGATGACATCACACTGATGTCATGTGTGCCCCCCCACGCCTCTGCTTTGCCTCTCGCTGTCCTTCCTTTGTTTCTCTCTCACTGTCTTTTTATTTCCGCTGGTTTACGGCTCAGATGCAGACCTGCAGTTACTCATAAACAATCTAGTTATGATAAGTGCCAACATGCTAAGACATACAGTGTGTGGTGATTCAGCTACCACGCACACACACATGCACATTATGTATCTTGAGTGTTGTTTTATTGTATGGGTTGATTAACAAGGTGAATATGCTGTGTATGTGTGGGTAACCGTGCTGTTTTGCGTGCTGTGTATGTGTTAGGGCAGCAGTAGTGATTAGTTATTGAACCTTCATGATGTACAGTGGAGTTGTTCTTCTTGTTACTGTGTAACCACATGCCCAGTAAGTGTGTTGGCGTGCGGTCTGTGTTTTTTTGTGTCCGTCTGTGCTTGTCTAGTGTCTGTGAATTAGATGTTATTTGTTCATATTCTAGTTTTCATGCCATAATTAACATGTGACATTGAGAAAATTCCCCTGTGACGTGCTGTTTTTACATTTATTAAGTGTAATTACTGACCAAAAACCATCACTTACATTTGTCACTATTCTTCACATTCTTAGTTTCTTATTTGATATTAGCAAAGTCTTATTTGAAACAGTTAGGTTGTTGTCAAAATATCAAAAAATCCAAACAATTGCCCCTTCAAAAAGGAAAAGGAAAAGTCAGGCCATCACTAAAAGTATTAGAATTTTTCCTCTTGGAACCATAAATGTCTGTATAAAATGTCATCAATTTGCTGCATGTTTAGCTATAACATCGTAATAAGCAAACATTTTTAGCTATTAGCTTTACACCACTCCCTATTGGCTGTCTTATACTCACTCATTTAGACACATAAGATCATTTGGCCCCTTTTCCATGGCATTGCCTCGCTCTATCAATGGTGAGTATTTGAATAAAATCTAATTTTCTACAACATGCCAAGATTATTACTATTGATTACACACTAAATTAAAACATTAACTACTTAAAACAAGATTCTATTTCATTACTGTTAGTGAGACCAATAACAGTTGCCTGTAAATAGGATACTTAAAATACTTATTTCAGTAACTAGTAAAAGCACTGGAAGAGCAGTCAATACAATAGGTAAGTAAATAGAATAATACATGTAAAATCAGCAGGTCACACTCCCCTGTATATCTCTCACTCACTGTGTTGATTTTATTTTGTGTGTGTTTGTGGGTCCAGTGTGTATGTGAACTTGTGTTTGTGTGTTGACAGTAGGAGGTTGAGATGACGGCAGTTGCCCATGATCTCTGACATGTTATGGATTTCCTCATTACATTACATTACATTTCATTTAGCTGACGCTTTTATCCAAAGCGACTTACAATTACCAATTACAGGGACATTCTCCCTGGAGTAACTAAGGGCTAAGTGCCTTACTCAAGGGCACACTAGTGGTGGTGTTCCAGGCGGGATTTGAACTCACAACCTTCCGATCTTCAGCCCACTCATAGATCTGAGAACACAGAACACGCGTGAGAGGATGTCAGCGGCCTCTCTGGACAATACCCAAGAGAGTCGGATATTAAACTAAAATCAATCATACCTCATACACCTGAATCCCTCTCCCTTCCCCTCTCTCATTGTCAGTTTAAAAAATACAGCTGTAATAATAGTGAAAGTAAACATAGGATAATTATGATATCTCTGAAGATGATATAAATACTACAAGTCTCTATTGGACTAATTTCTTTACTTCCATCACTATGTAACACTTGCACTTCTAATGGCAAAAGCTCCAACACATTGTAAGTGATAAGGGGATAAGGGGCAGGACTTCTCCAAGCGGTTGACCAATCACCACAGAGCTGGCCAGCTAACCAATCAGAGCAGACTGGGCTCTGGTTTCAGACAGAGGGTGAAAAGAGGTGCTGCAGCACAGGCAGTAGGAGAAAAATAAAGAGCTTTTTGAACATTAAAGCATGGAGACATGTCTCAGTAGAGGCAGAAAATACAAATATGAACCTGAAAATGAGCATTAAAGGGCCCCTTTAAATACCATGCTTCACAGCTTTATCTATTTCCCTCATTCTCTTAACTGCCTCTATTAGCTTTCATCTATCCTAGGACTTCTTTTCCAACAAATCCATCTCTTTCTTTCCTCTCCGACTCTTTAATCCGAAAGCATCTATCCATGTATCTATCCCCTAGTGGTGTCTCGGTGCTGTTCAGTGAGGCCGACATTTGAGCGATTGCAGCCCCTTTGGCTCTGTTTCCTCTCAACCTCCCGACGCCCCGTCAAGACAAATAATTTAGCTTGTCTCTCAGTCATGTCACACAAACTTCCTCTTCAATATCCTATATGGGGCTTTGTGTCCAGTGACGTGTGTTTGTGTCCTCTCTAGCAGTGTCTTTGTGTTTTATGATGACTAGTTTGCTGCTGGGGCAGAACGTTGTTTTGGCTGCATTTTGACATATGTATCTATGTCTGTGTGTGTTTGTGTGTGTGGGTCTGCAGGTGGTCCATGACGCTTACACCAGGTTCACTGAGGATTCTCTGATGCAGTCTGTGTGTGAGAACCCGTCGGAGAGCACAGAGGTCACCATAAAGGTCAGTGGTGGAACAACGAAAGCAAAGAGGTTGACCTCAAACAGAATTATGTTGTAATGTATTATCAACATGCCGCTTATGTATGTCTTAAGTTATTTATTACTTTTTATTAAAACGCCAGCCATGAGTTTTAGACAAAAGCAGGTTTTTTTTTGTAAAAATGAAACCATCATAAGATTGTTTGGTGACAAAGTGGAAATCAGGCTCAGAGGTCAACAAAACAAGCAGAGTATTTAGGTTGCATAACTATTTTAATAACATACAGAGTCCAAGAATCATTCCAACAATAATAAAAGTCTTTATCTGGAGTCTAAGGTGCCGTTTACACAGGACAAAACGGGATGTTTCTGCTACTTTTCTCTCGCGTATAGCCCGTTCGTTCACACGAGGCCGACACGTAAACGCGGAAACGGACCCCGCAAACGATAGCAGGTCCCAAGGTGGATAGATCTACAAACGGAACGCTCTGGGGGGGCAAACGGCTCCGTGTGTACGCCCTATACGATCAGTTTCTGATAACGATGAAATAGCCCCGCCTCCCTCTCCCCACGTCTCCCTCTCACCATGTCTCCTGCTCAGAGATCAGCTGCTGGGCTGTTATTATTCTTATATTATTATATAGAGTTGTTATCAATTTGTTTTAAAGCTCAATAAATAACAAAGAAGACCTCTGACCGGCACTTTTATAATTTTGTCCGGAAGATTTAAACTTTAACGGACATGTTGACCGGCGGAAAAAAATGTTAACGGAAACTCTGCCGCATGGTTCCCTCGTCCCTTGGAAGAGGCGGAGAGGTGGGTGTTTTTCATCTGCTGGTGGAAAGTTTTCCTACAAGGCGGTATATCAATAAAACAACAGATCTGAAAAACAGAGGTCATTAACCATCCTCTGTTTAAGATTGCTTGGCTGGAACTACCTGCTATATAGAGTCACATCAATGCCAAGTGCAATTAAAATGCAATGAACCTTTACACTGAGTAGGGAAACAGATTAGATTAAAGTTTATGGAATGGACCTTATGTGAAAGCGAAAGGAAGGAGTAAAGTGGTTATGGTTCAGGGAGCTGTTTGAAAAGAGCTTCTGCAGCACATCAATCCGACTCAAAGGATCAGAATTCAACTGAAGTAGCTTTCTTAGGTTTGTTGATTAAACATAAACAAATATCCTGGCATCCATAATTGGGCAACAACCCTTTACATGTGTGTAGGTTTTAAATGACTATCCATAGTGTCTGAATACCAATCTGCAAGGTTAATGAAGGAGTGAGGTGTGTGCTCTCATCCATAGGCTGCATCTAACACTCTTTAGTGATTCTTTTGGTGTCAACACACTTACAGTAAGTGGACTCCTGTAGATTCCCATTGTACATACTGCCATCACAGTTTAGTGTTCAGATTTAGACTGTGTAGCCCAGTTGTAGACCTGACCCTTGCAACACACAGAGGAAATTCATATAAAATAAAACAACAAAGGCAACATAAAAACAAAGTAGCACTGATGAAATACATTTTCAAGAAGGAAGATTTACAGTTAGATATATTCACGCAGAAAATACATCCGATGTCAATTTAGTATTAGGTGGTAGGAATCAGGGTAGCGAAGGTAATGGGACGGTCATGTTCAGGAGGCCATGGCAGCGAGCTGGTGCCATGAAAAATTCACAGCTGCTGTGCATGTTGTCATGTAAGTAAGAACATAAGTAGGGTTGGTAGCTGGGAGTGGAAGGTAAATCTATAAATATGGACCCGGAAACATGGGCATAAATTATTCACGTTGCGTTTCCTGACCTACATTTTTACCACCTCTGCTTTTTCACTTCCTCCATCCCTTCCCCTCTGGTGGGGGAACCCTTTTTGTCCTGGTTTCTCTCTCTTTCTGCCCCCTGTTGTTTTATTATTCTCTCCTCTTTTCTCTTCTCTATTCTTCTTTGTGTTTTCCTCGCCCATGGTAATTTCACATTCCCTGTGTCTTTCATGACCCTCACCCTCCTCCCTTCCTCTAACCACTCCTCTCCTGTGTCTCCTCCTCCCTTACTCTCTTCAGGGTCTGGAGGTGTCCAAACCGGGCCGCTACCACACTCTCTCCTCTGACAACTTTTTGGAGATGAGCGACTCCGGGGTGGAGTTCACCTCCTCTGGCCTCCCACTGGACAGCGACACGGATGGCGGCATGACCTACGCCTCCCACAAGCCCCTCCTGAATGCCGTCTCCCCCACAGCCATGACGGAAGAATTCCCCCCCGAGAGCCCGGAGGCCACCCTGGCCCCCGACGGGGACCTCAGCGCCAGCCGGACCCCTGACTCGGCCATGAGTGTGAGCCCAGCTTCCAATCCACGCTCGCTCGCTGCTGCCACCCCCAACGGCAGCCTGCACGGAGCCGCGTCGCCGGGAGCAACCTCCGGGGGCACCGTGGGGTCAGATCCAGCCCAGAAGGAGGGAGGGGCTGAGAGCGAAGATGTGGGGCAGAAGGAGGAGTCGGCCCAGAGCACCTGAGAGGCACCACGGTGTGTTTTGTAGTTCATGATCCTCATACAATAATGACAGCCACAACAATCTGGCTCCGTCCATCATATCCAAACACCTCGAGTCCTTCATCACTGCATTCCAATCCACGACACAGACAAAATATTCATGCTTGGATCTAGATGTCATATTAGACCAGAAGAAAATGTTGCACAAAACGCACAAAACGTAACGCACTGAGCACTGAAAAGTTAGATGCAAAAGAGTAAACCCACACTCTCTAAGAAGAACAATGTGTGCATATGGAAAATGCATGCATTTAAATGAAACATTAAAGTAGATATCATAGTTCAGATCTACGGGAAAATACTGATGTTAGCGTAGACTGACTGCATGCGAGCTTCAACGGGCAAGCTATGCGAAAAAGGGGTTAAAACCCTCTCAGCAATGTTGGGAAAACACCTTAAAGGGATCAAATGATTTCACCCCCTGTCAAAAAGGTGACAGTTGGAGTCAGCACGCTCCGAGGAATCAGAAATGATTCACTAAGACCAAGGAGACTGACAACAGCAGCAAAAAGCCTCTCCTGTATTGAGGAGAATCTCAGTGTGTTGCCTGACAACACTTGTATCTGCTCTCACAGCATCAGACAAACAGCAATGATTGCATTCCATCCATCCCATACACAGACTCTACAATGCAAGTATGTCAGAAAGCGCCTCTGCCTCTCAGACACAAGTGCTTGTCTCAGCACTCATTCACAGATATCCACTAGAAAAAACCTCCTCAACTTATTTTTCTCCTGAAAAGCCTGCACAGAAACAAGCTCTGCAAATTGAATAGCACCACTCCTATGTGAGTGACGGTGATTGGTTTTTTCTCCCTCTCATATATTTGCTGTTTCGTTGAAACACCCACAAGAGCCACAGCATACTCTTGAAACTCTTCCCCCCCCCCCCCCCCCCCAGTGGAGTTGTCCCGAGTCCTGTCAGAGCAAAATAAAATTAGGAGAACACTGCGAAACACTTTTGGAATGGTTCCCGAGAACATAATTGGATTTTTGGTCCCTTTGCAGAAAGTACCAGTTCACGGACACCATAGAGTGAGCAGCGGCGATAGAAGAGACCTCAGAGATGGATCAGGGTACTATTCGGGGAACAGATAATTGACTTTTATGATTTAAACCATCCTGTTTTCATCTCGACTGCCTTCCATGGGACAAATCTCAGATGATTGTAGCCCAGTTATTTATCAAAATGAAGGGACTGGATAGCAGGCAGCCTACAGCCCCAACAGAATTAGAAGAAGAGAGTCGATTGTGAAGGTGTGTGTGTGGGTGTGTGTTCGAAAGCAACTTACATTATGAGACATTCAGTGCTCTGCATGGAAACAGGATCCCTTTCAGCTCCTGGAAAATAGGCAATGAAAAAGAGAAGGGCAACCTCAGAGGACCTTAATTAACCGTTCAGAATAATAGCTCAAAGCGGCTTGTGCTCTGTGAATCCAAACCCATTAGTTGTACAACACAATATTCAGTCCTGCTATTAACTGTACCAGTAATAGCGTATAAGGTCAAATGTTTACAACCAATATCATTTAAATATATTCAGTTATTCTTTACACCATTTTTTTCAGTCAAAGGTATTTTAAATCCCAATAATTACCAGTTCAAACTGAACTGTGTGAGTTTAAATAAGAACAGATAAAAGTTGGTACAGATACTGTTTACCAGGTAGCTGATTATTCACATCCTTTAATATCCTTTTTTAATTTTTTATAAAACTTTGAACGATCTCCTTGTGGCACCAAAAGACTAAAGAGTGGCTCATTTTACGGTGGCTACAACGGCCCAAAACACTTATTAGGAGAAATGCACTGCACTTTCAAAAACAATGCACATAAAAACGCAAATGTGCCAAAACACATGCAAATGAATACACATCTTCAACAACTTGACTGCTGCAGGAATCCCTAAACACAACGGAAACACTAAATGATGCGTACAGCTGGGACCGGAGCGCTTGTTGACGTTAGGATTATAACATTTGCACACTGTCACAGAAAAACTCAAATGTTTGTTTTATTGACTTTTTTTAAGAATGTGATTGCATCATTCCTTCCCATATTATTGCAGATCTGCTGTAAGCTAGCTAGCTAACGTAGCTAACCTCATTTCAGTTATACTGACAAAACACTTGACTACTAGACAGACTAACTCTACCAACATGGTTTTTGAAAGTGCAGCACGTTTCTCCTAATCGTTTTGGGCCGTTGTTTGCCTCCATCAGCCAGCGTATCATTCAATTACACACGTTACAACAATAAACATATTGATGGGGGATTTCAAAAAACACACAAGCAGTACGACAGAGATGAAGATGAGAGAGTGGCATAAGTTCAAGCATGAATAAAGTCAATTAGATGAACAACATAGATTCAAATGTTGACTAATTAGTTCCCTGCCAATTCAGGTCACAGGAAACTGATTTTCAATGCTGAGGAAACATGAGACCCCCTCCACAGTCAGAGATTGACATTGAACCCTTGCAACACTTTTACTGCTTTAAGGAATCAAAGCAGAGTCCATACAAACATCCATCACCTACTTCACCCCATGAAACACACCAAACACACTGATATCCATCCGGACAGGGTCCACCATCCCTTCTGTTAATATCTGCAGTATGGCTACTTCATGCTGTATAACTGAATTGATGTCAACCTGGAAAGTCTGTAAGATTTACGACCTCATGCCTCTTAGGGTTACTAAAAGCAGCCGCACGGACGGACACCCACGATTGGTGTCTGAACGAGAAGAGCACAACGTTTATCATGTGATCCTTTTAAAACAAGACAAAGGTTCACATTATAACACAAAATGTAAAAAGTAGCAGCTATTAGTAAATGCAATATATGGATTTGCAAAAAGAAACGACTAACTAGGTCCCTTCTTATTCAGGAAAAAGCGGCTTTGATTTAGTTTTTATTTACTGCAAAGGGAAAATATATAAATCCTGAATGTGTAAAGTGATTTGCACACCCTACTTGTTATTGGATATTGATTTTGTATGGCTGTTTTACAGGGAAGCACGTTTGCTTGTGCAGGTAATGGTTCAGATTGATATACAACACAAAGACAGTAAGGCTCCAAAACTGACTTTGTGTTTGATGTAAATATCAGGTTGATTCAAATAAGCTCTGATAAGGAGATTAGGTAATAACAAATTGATGGTCAAGTGACTTATCTTTAATGAATTCTAAAGCAATATTCATTATGATATCACTGAGACATCCCTCACATCCACCGGGCAGAATGAGGAATCTGACATCTCAACATCAATCACCCTTTTTTTCCACTGTTGTATATATAAAGATATGTGATCTGCATGTGTATAGTGTGAAGATACTAATATGTTTCTTACTATAAGGCTTATGCAAGGTTTTATACTATCCAAACGCTGCATTGATCCTTTAACCACGCGTCCACAGCAGGTAGAAAACAAACACGTAGTGCTGGAGGAAGACGCTCGCTCTTACTCATGTCACGTTTAAATGTTGGGGTCATGGAGACGCTGCGTGAAATCCTTTCATAGATATTCGTTCAGTAGTGGTGGAGTATCTGTAGTCGCCTCAGGGGTGCACTATTACACAGTAACAGCTTTGTAGACTGACAAAAATGCAGGAAACCAACATGCAGTGTTGGAATGTAACTAAGTACATTTCCTCAGGTACCACACCTAATTTTGACATAACTGTACTTTACTTGAGTTTTCCATTTTATGCTACCTTGTACTTCTATTCCAGGACATTATAAAAGCAAATATAGTACTTTTTACTCCACTTACAGTATATGATATGATGCATTACTGTACTACTAATCAAACCAGTATTGTATCTGAAATTGGCCAAACATTGACAAAAAACAACATTAAAATGCTCCTACATGTATGTGTTAGTGATTAAAACAAGATTATACTGTATAATAATCTATTATCATATAGTACATCAACAAAGGGCCATCCTGCATACCAATTACTTTAAGCACATTTGGCTGAAAATACTTCTGTACTTCTGCATTTTAAATGCAGTACCTTTGCGTGTATTGGAGTATTTTAAAGTCAGAGTAGAGGCACAAAATATAAATATGAACCTGAAGATGAGAATAATATGTCCCCTTTAGGACAATAGTCTTTTTTAATTCTAATTTAGCACTTTTTCCACCTTTGCAAACACTTTGCATGGTAATTTCTTTATTGAGCGTAACGTTCAGTAAGGATGTTCTTTTCAGGTCTTTTGTGATCATATCATGCTGTTTTCAGTGCAGATCAAATGTTTTATTCTTAACGTGCATTAAAAGTCCCTGCTGAAGGACACTAAGTATTGTACAGGGTGAAGGGCAAAGAGCCTCCTTTGGATGTCAGTGTGTGCCTGATGGAATAATAATACTATAGTTCAGGAACTCTCAGCTGAGGAAGTCTTTATGAAAGGATTTCACTCTCCGTCATTCAACATTGTCTGGTGTTTTCTGTTTCATTACACATCAGAGCCGCCATTCACAAAGCCAGAGCAGGAGTGCTCGTCCCTGTGTGCGTAGGGCGAGAATTTAATAAAATGTTCTTTCAATTCTGGTAGATTCAATCTTCTGCTAATCCACTATTCTCTATATTTCCAAAGAATGTAATGAAAACCCATGAAATGATCTCTGCAGTGTCACAGTTTGGTGATACCGCTGATCATAATAGAAATTAGCTTTAGTGGAAAATACGAGATGAATGTCATCTGCCTTTTCTGACACTGAGATAAATTAGATGTAATTCACTGCAGCGCAAGTCAGTGGCTCTTGCTGCGATTGAATATATTCCTAACTTTGATTGATGACTCATAATTGGATAATATAACTGAAAAGCCACTGTTCCTCATCATTTTAAGCTCACCCTCTAACACACACTTGGACTTGAACTGATCCCAGTTCAGCAGAACTCCATCTCTGGACAAACATTGGAAATTATTCAGAAATACATTGTACTGTCTGCTTAGAAATAGTTATTTGTCACACATCTGCCCCCACCGTGATACTCCCAGCACCTGAGAATGTTTTTTTTATACAAGAAAAAAGATTAAATAATATTCCTAAAAAAATACTTTCATATAATCAATGTATTTACTTTGGGACAAACGTACCTCATCCCGAACTAATGCATTAACTAAAAAACGAAATCGCACTTCTTTTGAATGAATGAACATGCTTGAATACAGTACATTGTCAGAACTTTTTGTTGCATCACATTTAGCACCAAAAACACTACTCCTGCAACTAATGTGCTTATTGATATATCTCCATACTCTGATATTATAGCCTATACCTGCTGTCCTGAAGAGTTAGTGTAACTCCAGCATGCTGACCTGTAGATTGCTTGTGAGGCAGCAGCTGTGATGATGATCTCTAATAATAATAGTATGAATTGCAGTTGTCTGTATCGCTGTTCTCCTAAGTCCATCCTTTTCGCTGAGATCTGGTTTCCCATGATCCTCCTGGGTCTTAAAATCACTTGTCAATGCTGGCATTAAGCTGAGAGTGATAGTTAGAGAAGAATATTTCAGATTTTTAAAGGTTGCTGCCAATCACAAAGATTGTCTTTTGGGTGCACACAATAACTCATTATTTTGCAAATCAAAAATAATGATGAACATATAACACATTTAAACTTTGAAGCCTCCATTTGGAAAAGTCAAACTTTTTAAATTGGAAATGTCATGGTATACAAAATTAGTTTTTTCCCTTTGGGTTTTTTCGGCAAATCACAAGAGGAAATCAACGTTAGCTTAAAGGTAGGGTAGGTAAGTTTGAGAAACCGGCTCGATATCGCTAGAATTTGAAAATACACAACCGGAGAAAATCTGCCACTTCCTTACAGAGCCCCTCCTCCAACACACACGGACGCGCACATGACCAATGAGGGCACGAGATAAGTTTGTGCACAGATGGAAGGCTGACAGGCAGGTAGGCCATCCAGTTATTTTAGCCAGGCCGACTAAAATGATTGGTCGTGCTTTTTACAGTATTACGGCTTCCACAGATGAAATGTTGTTATGGATTTGTTGTCAAAGCACTTAAGATATTCATTGCTATCGGGATGTTAAGAGCATTCCATGGAATATAACAAAAAGTGTATCTCGAGCCGGTTTCTCAAACTTACCTATCCTACCTTTAAACTTTAAAAAAAAAAGTATTTTAATGACACTAGTACTCTCCTTTAACATCACTTCTGAGTTAAGGCTTATGTTTATTTGAGGGTTTCGATCTAAGGGGCATTAGCCATTAGTTTTGGTTTTGGGAACCCCCAGAGTCAGGATGGCTTTTGAGGCAAAACGATATCCTGTTAGTTGTTTTAGCACATGGTTTGGGCAGGAGAAGTATTGCCACTGTTAATATTACTGCTGTTGCTTCTGCAAAAAAAAAACAATGCAACTAAAGAAATGTTTACATGATAAAAATCACGTTTTTCTTTGTGAAGAGATGTGGGATAACATCATCACAAGTATGGGTCTGTTTGTTAAATCTGTATGAATTCTGAAGTATGACGCCTTTAGAAAAATATATGTAACATTTTTGTGGTTTGATTTTCTTCGGTGTTGTGTTTAAGGTTTACATTTATTTAATTGAAGTCAGATTAATTCTGCTTTATTGTCACATGCACATTAAACACGGAAACATGTAATCGTTTATTAATCAGGATAGTGCACATTTAGTTTGCATGTTGTTCCTTGTTGTTACTTTCACTTTGAGAGAAATCACTTGAATGCTTTATATCTAAGAGTTCAGATCTCATTGCTCCAGATCGGTAATCATTGACTCTAGCGATACTTCACTGCACTGCCATGAACAAGCGGCCATACACCCTTGTTTGCTTGAAGAATATGAATATGTATGAATATTTATATACCCGTATCATATTAGACCCTTCGGCACCCTGCAAAGACTTTTATAAAGCTTCTCTTTTTCTGTAATGAATGAATAATTCCAATTAAATTAATTTTCAACAGAGAATGAATCCAACGTTGTTGTTTTTTATGTGCACCTGCTTTTAATACTCTGATTTCATTCATACTAACTCAAGTATTTCCATTTTAATTTCAGTCATGTATTCCAAGGAAAACCTATTTTGTAATAGTCTAGAGAGGATCTCAAAGTTTCAGACATATTTCATCTCTTTAACTATGAATATACACAGAGCTAGAAGCTACTGGAAGTTGTGTTAGGAATAAAATGGATTTTATAAACTTCTATCAACTTAAAAATATAAACTCCCCTTTCTTGTGGGCAGAGTGGGTTGCGAAGCAAATGGCCTGCAACTTACTTACATAACGTTTTCTCAATGCTTTAACTGTAGTGTGTAACACAGTTTGAGATGAGGGGTATTTCCAACATTTTAGAATGGACATGTCAGTTAAGTTGGAATGTAGCGGGGGGAAAAGTACAATATTTTGAGAAGTAGCCTAGTGGTGGACGGTAAGTAAGGTAATGCACTTTAAGGTATAACTTTAAAGGTTCTAAAATGTTACTACTTGAGTTTTTCCATTTATTGCTGACTTTTAGTCAACTAAATATATTTGACAGATTTAGTCACTTTGTTGATTCATGTTATCAATACAAAAAACGAATTAAGTGTGATGTCTAATAATATTATATGACAGTGTATAAAGTAATTAAAATAAGCCCCACCTTACAAAGCTGCAACATTAAAGTAATGTAATAATTAATGCAATACTAATTATATCCATGCAGTAATATAATATACAGTATATATTTCCATTCCTGATAATGATAACTTTAACTTTTAGTACATGAATGATGTAGGTAGGTAGGTGAATATGGCAGTGTAAACAGTGTATTTAATTCATATAAATTGATGTATGCTGTTACAGGGTAATCTACAATATATACATAATGTATACTATGAACTAAGATTATGAATGCATGACCTTTACTTGCAGTATGCCTACTTTTACCCTGAAGTAGGCCTATTGCTACAGCACATTAACATAAGTAAAATATATGATGAATGGGCTGGTTCTTTCACCCACTCTGTGGAGTACAGCATGGAGTTGCAGTACAACTAACTTACCTGGGATTTGTACTTAAGTACTTGAGTTAATGTACTTGTAGTTATTCAAATTCAAAGGAGCTTTATTCCTCCACTGAGCTGTTCTGCAGCTGTGATTCTGGTGCCCGGACTCAGCCAGTCCTGTTCCCGCTGAAGACGCCTTGGCCCTCAGCCAATCAGGGCGGAGCAGGACATGACGCGTGTTCTCGTGCAAGGAAGCCCCAGGAGTGGCGCGCCAAATTTCAAAGCACTTCCTCCCGGGAGGACAGGAGGTGAAAAGCTGCACCGAACCAAGCGAACAACGGCGATAAAAACCTGCAGAAACAAAACATTTTATTCAAAGTTTATGAGCTGAAGCCGCTGGTGGAGCAGTCGACGGTGTTTTTTCGGCAGCTGGTTGAGGAATAATTCACATAAAGAGGGAATGCCATTGTTGTAAGTGGCAGCTTTGACTTTCATTCTGTTCTACAAGGAACTACGTCAGCTAGCTTGATCCTGTTTCTGACTGACAAGCTAAAAACCAGGACTACGATACCTCATCGATCTTTCAATCTCACTGTAACGTTTATCGCTGCATTTTTAAGTATATGTGCAGATTCTATCACGATATGTGCAGTAATTGTTTTTAAAACGAGGTTTTACTTGACATTCCGTTGATTTCTCTTGGTTATTGTGTCTTGCTTTGTGCCGTGTCCCATGATACGTCTACATGCAGCTGATGCACGGCATGCGGTGCACACTGCACAAAGCTAAAGATCACAGTGTGAAGCTGACAGTTTTCATGTTTCTCTTGTTTAAGAAGCATCTGGTGTTTTTCCCTCAGTGTGACATTAGTTTAATTTAACGGCAGCCTGTAATGAAGCATGTTTTATGTGGCGTCTGAAGTGTCAAGAAAATAACATCTATAAAGATGTTTTTCACACACCAAGTACAGCAATTAAGCACATTTATTTTATGTTTTCTTCTTTCAGATCAGACGGCACTGCCAGGCTTCTCACCTGTGAGACGGCTGATGTCAGGAGCCTGGGATTTTAATCTCTCACACACACTTAAACACAGGCTCAGATGACAGCTGTTCAAACCTGTTAATATATTAAACGTCAGAACTCAGGCTAAAAGTCACGGCTGTCAAGTTTCTATGGCAGGTTTGCTTTTCATGGTTTTAATATTTACTGCACCTTTCCCATTTAGTGGTAACACGCAGGCTGTCCACATTACTAAAGATCCATCTTCTTACAGCCTCCACTCCATGGAGGATTGAATTTGTTTGAGTTTGAGCTCATGACAGAGTGCAGTAGCTCATTTCCACACTTCACCAGCTTACACAGGGCTCCATATCCTCATTATTTATTCATGTATTCACGGCAAGGCACAACAAGGCATCTGCTTTCCATACTAATGCAAGCAACTGTTGCTCAAACAGCTGCACCTGCCTGTAACCAGGCCTGAGCTTAGAATATTTGATCTTGTAGATTCTTACAAGTTCACATGCCTTTTAATTTAACTTCTGTCCACTAGCAAAGAGTATATCCCACAATGGATCTTAACCTGCTGTAGCTCAGGGCCTGTCACAGATATTGTGTGGCCTCTGGGTGGGGTCAGGGGGGGTTCAGCGGTGGCAGACAATCAAAGCCTTCAGTCATGCTGTGCGGGGTGCAGCCGTGCTTCCAGTTGCTGCGGATCGGGTCGTCTGCAGGGGACTCGGCGAGGGACCTGTACACCTTTAGGCCGGCGCTGAGCCACTCGGTGTTCAGGTTGGGCCGGGCGGCGGAGCTGTGTGACGTCACACTGGACTCCACTTCGGTGTCACGGATCCACGCCGAGCTGCACGCAGAGAGGGAGGCGGGGGAAGGGGAAGAGGCGCCGCAGGAGGAGGGCTGGATGGTCCACATCAAGGACAGGAGCAGTCATGGTGAGAAAAGGACACACTTGCACCAGGATTTAAAAAAACATGGCCGTAATTGCGTCCGGGAAGATTTCAATGTCCCTAACAAATGGGAGAAATGACGGTCAAATATCTGTGAGCTTAAAATCAATTGATTAGAAGGCTTTATTAAGAATGAAGACAAAAAGACGCTATTTCAAATAAATCAAGTCCATAGACTCATAAAACTCAAAATAGCTGTTGCTGACTATTTAAGCTTTTTTCAATTCACATATTGTGCTGAAGGGAAATTATTTTCAAGACCTTAAGATCAGCCAAAGTCCAAACTGACTCTCACACACACTGACACACCCCTCTACAGTCATTGTGGAAGAGAAAGTTACACACCCGCTTACAAGAAACATGAATCCCATTACGGGGAAACGCATTCACACAAATACACCACACACACTTTTTTTTTCAGTAGATACAGTATTTGTGTTTCAAAGATACAGATTCACTGACAGGGGTAATAAAGTTGCATATTAGACGCTTTACATTAATACAGATACTAAATAATGTAAACATGTGAAACACTATCACACACATTTTGTGATGTGAGGGAGGCCAACACACAAATGCTAAAACCCACACACAAGCAAGCTGTTTTTCTGAATTCCTAACACATTCAGCCTGACAGCAGCGGAGCCCCACAGAGCGGCACATCACAAGTATTAGCTGCCCTAACACAGCTGTGCACATGCAGACCAGGTTAGCCTCAGAGAGCACACAAACACACATTATGGGCTAAATGCATCGCTGAAACTTCAAGTTAAAGACTTCAATCATGTCTCTCACCAGGACTTTGAATTATCTAAATCTGCTGCAGCCTGTTGAGAAGCATCTAATCCTTCCTTGTTACAGACAAATCAACTAAATTGGAGCTTGATAATGATGAAGTAATTCAAATAATTGTCCAGATTCTTGACCCAGATCTTACAGTATGTTCTATATGAATGATAAAAACCTACATTAGTGTATTAGAGAGGTGTTGGGCCAAGCCTACAGAGCAGCTTCTGCTAAAACAGCTGTCCTCATTAAGTGTTCCTGGTGCTGTTGGAGCACAGTTTGAACACATCTGTCCGGAATCTCCCATGTGAGCTCTCCTGGGTTACGTCAGGTGATCATTTTCACACATATAACCATTCAGTGAAGTCTCCTCTCCTGTATGATGCCTCTGCATTTGTAAACACATTTGGATTTTACATTTTATTTATAAAGTTGGTACAATTTTGAACAAAATAATAGAATTCAGAAATATGACATACATTTGTTGCAAATCCTGAGGGGTGAGAGACTGAGAGGTAAATACTTTCAAAGACCAGTTGAACAGGTTTTACAGCAGCTATCGAAGAAAAGTAGGGCTGAGACAATTCGGATGATTATTCGCTAAGTTGATTGATGGACAGAAAATGAATTGCAAATATATGTGTTTTCATAATCAAATGAAAAGTGAAAAAATCCCTTTTTGTTGCACCTCAACTGAAACGGGTGAAAGGGGAGCTAATTCAGTGTCAGGTAGTTGAAAACTATTGAGAGCCCAAAAATAGATCCGAAGTAATAGGGAGCAAATTGAAGCATAAGGAGCACTAAGAGTAGCCAGGGAAACAGACTCTTACTATATGTACAGGAAAGTCAGAAACACACCTCTCAGTGCCTCAGATGGCTACAGCCTTTAGTGAAACCTGAAGCTGTACAGGGAGGAAGTGAGCTCTTCACTTAAGGCTGATGGACTCTCTGACTATCTCTGGATCTAAACTGCACTCTCACTGCCCAACTCTCCAAGTCATTTCACACTCTGTTTCACATGTGATGCTATTAAACCTTAGTATTCACTGTGCATTTCTCATAGTGTGCAGTGCTGTTACGGCCTTTTGATTGCCTTGTAGCCGTCCAGCTCCTCTATGCTAATTCTAGGTCTGTTCTACATTTCCCTAAACACAGGAAACTGATGACTTCATTTTGATGCCCTGCTCTCTTTCTTGTTTGTTCATATTTAAAAAAAGGTCCTGTAAAGATCTGGCCACAGATGACCTCCATGTCAGAGTTTATAAGGAGGGGTATCAAGTCAGCACATTGTATTACAAAATAAAGTATTCTCCTCTTGCGTTGCTAGGCACCTGGGTGAACGAGGTCCGCCTCCAGCCCGGCATCCAATGGGAGCTCTCAGACGGGGACACGCTGACCTTCGGGGGCCAGTCAGCTCCAGGGAGCCCCGAGTTCTACTTCCTCTTTCAGAAGGTCAAAGTTCGTCCGCTAGACTTCGATGCCATCACGATTCCAAAGGTAATGTCTGCTGTGATTTCATAGGTCAGATGAAGCAGAGATAGTGGGCTCTTCACTCCCAGAATCTGTGCTGTTTTGGTTTACGGGTACAGATTTATAATGATGCTTCATCTCCCTCAACAGTCAGTTATAAATTGCACCTTTTTTTTTACAAAGATATCGCAGGCTTGTTTTAACAAAATGAGTACAGATGCAATTGAGTTTGAGATGCAAGGACAAATCTGGTCGGATTTAGAATTGAAGAATCCTCACGTAAATACTCACTACCACAACACTAAATAAGTATTAATCCACCTAAAAAGTCCTAATGAAAATTACCTGTTATTGGTGATTTAAAAAGACTGTTTGAAAAAAAAAAAAAACATGTGTTATGTTGGAACCAATGGTGAAGCCTTGCACTATGGAAGTCGTACATAATTGAGAGAAGCACCATACATTCAATTCAAGGCTTTATTATCATTTCCACAGAAGCTACAATGTAGATATGGCAATGAAAAACGTAGGTCACAGGCTCCTCCAACAGTGCAACATACATATATATATATTAGGGCTGTCAAGTTAACGCGTTAATAACGCGTTAACGCAAAAAAAAATTAACGCCACTAATTATTTTAACGCGATTAACGCATGTGTATTTTTTGTCCTCGGCCGCCGTAGTTTCAGAGCGCATCGAGTGTAAAATACCATCTACAAGCTGATGCTGACAGCCCCGCTCCTGCTGCCCGCTTGTGGCAGACCACACTTCCACGCTCACCGGCAGGCCCGGACTGGCCATCGGGAGGACCGGGAGGGTGTGTGTATGTGTGGCGCGAGCGAAGCACACCTTACGTGTTGTTGTTAGCATCTGGTGCTAGCTAGCTGAGCTAACGGATATAAGGAGCTGTTTCAATGAAAACAGAGGAGCGACATTTCGCCGACAACTGCGCCGAGCACTTGACTTTATGCAGGTAGCCAGACAGCACACTCAGCACGGATAGTGCCGCAACACAGCTCATACACACAGGCATATATGCCTTGAGCTGCACATAGCTCCAACGATCCTTCACATTCTCACACACACACACACACACACACACACACACACACACACACACACACACACACACACACACACACACACAGTATTGTATGAGAGAGGTTCTAGGTTGAATTGAGGCGAATATTTGTAATGTTCACAGGATGTTGTGTTTAATATTCATGAGAATATTTGTCATTGTTCAAATGATAAACAAACATATAAAGCATATTTGTCCACTCATATGTTGATAAGAGTATTAAAAACTTGAAAAATATCCCTCTAAGGTACATTTAGAACAGATAAAAAATGTGCGATTAATTTGCGATTAATCGTGATTAACTATGGACAATCATGCGATTAAATATTTTAATCGACTGACAGCCCTAATATATATATATAGAGAACATTGTTGTTTTGGTTCTTTTTAAAGGGATTTATTGACAATGAGAAAGATGATTACATATTTGCTGCTCAAGCTTCAACAGTGCAGGCATTGTAAAGCTGTGATAATGGGAAAATGCCATGGACAGAATAGTAAAAGCAGAAAAGGTTATCTCTCTGTGCCATTTTAAAGATGATAGATGCTTTCATATTTTGCACTTGAATTACAAACGTACTCATTCATGAAGTGCAGAAAAAGACAAATTACGCATTCAAATGAAACTGCCAAACAAACAATAGAAGCACCCGATGTGTATTTGCCTTTGCTACATAAAGTTCTAATGTCTATGCGTTGTCTCCTAGGCTGGCACCTTCTCCTCCGACCTTCAGAACCGGATCAGAACCAACCAGGAGCGTAAAGCGGCCGCCAACCTGGACCTGTCCAAGCTGTCCATCAACCGCTCCACCGTCATCCTCAACTCCATCGGCAGTCTGAGCAAGATGAAGGGCAGTGCCTGGACCTTCAAGAGAAGCCACAGCAACGAGGGCACCGCCTCGGACCCCGGCTCCTCCTACTCCCCCCCCCTGGAGGTGGGCATGTCCTCTCTGCTCCCGCCCTCCACGCCTCCATCCTTCTCAGCTGCTTCAGTGCCTTCATCAAAGTTCCAGCAGCCGACCTCCAGGAGCCGCAGGAAGTCGGCCCACACCGTGCTGCTGGAGGACGACAGCTCCGACGAGCCCAGGGGTCGAGGAGGTAACGCTCAGCATAATGCCTGAAGAAATCCACACTGAGCTCTCTGCAAACATGGGAGGCTCCAGATCTGTAGAGCCCAATGAGTTTTTCCTACCTTTAAAATAAGTTATTCTGTTCATTTACCCAGGCCAGTTAATAAAGCTGCATTTCATTTCAAACCTTTATTTATCCAGATTGTCCCTTGAGATCATAGATCTCTTTTTCAAGGGAGACCTGCATACACACTAAACACAAGATAAACTGACATCTTTTAACCGTTTCCTTAACCTCAGTGTCCTTGGGCAAGATACTTAACCCCACTTTGCTCCCATAATATGTCTACAATATTTAAGTTAATGCAAGTTTCTTTGGATAAAAAGCTAAATAACACGTAAAGTATGAAACCTATACTTTAATGATAAAGTGTGTAGCGCTCTTCACAGCAGCACAGACACAGGTTGGTTCCTCAAAGCGGCTGATTATTTGTTTGGGAACATCAGCAGCTTCCTGCCTCGAGAACACTGCAAAATACATCATACGTTGTACAGTAGGTAGCATGAAAACAAGGGGAAATACACTAATGCTTGGCGTGAAACAAACATTACATATAAAACTAAAAAAGCCTTAATAGCAGAGGTGTGGACTCGAGTCACATGACTTGGACTCGAGTCAGACTCGAGTCACCAATTTGATGACTTTGGACTCGACTTGACAAAATCACAAAACACTTGCGACTCGACTTGGACTTGAACACCAATGACTCGGGACTTGACTTGGACTTGAGCCTTCTGACTTGAGGTGACTTGATAATTTAAAGGTCTCCAACACGCCGATCGCGAGATGCCGCTTGAAGAGCAGACTCCCGTCGGGGAGAGCAGAATCTTCAGCCGCTGCAACTCTTGCTGAGAATCCATGCAGGCAGGGGCGGGACTTTATTTTGCTGAGCCACCATGTGGCCAATCATATGCGAGGACACACTAGGATCATACCATTATGTGAAAGAAGGGTGGGGGGCAGACGCTCCAAAGACAGCAGGTGTAGTGGTACAGGCCAGATACACAGAGCGACGGGGAGACGGGGAGCCGGATTGAAATGCAAGCGCGCAGGAAAAAGTCAAGAAATGAGCGAAAAAAGAAGCAGCATCTGGCTGCATTTCAATGATATTGGAGAAAGCAAAGCTGAGTGCAGGATTTGTAAAATGAAAATAACCTTCAGAGCAGGGTTTTTATTTTGGTAACCACTCAGGATTTATTGTCAAAGGTGGGAGAAGTTCAGATCTTGTACTTGAGTAAAAGTACCAGAGTGTAGGAATACTCGGTTACAATAAAAAGTCCTGCATTCAAAATGTTACAAGTAAAAGTACAAAAGTATTAGCATCAAAATATAGTTAAAGTACCACCTGCAGAGGGATGTAGATTCAGGTGTTCTTTTCCCCATAGAGACCGCCTCGCTGCACATTATCCCTTGCATAAAGATAGATTGTGGGTCCCTTATAACATGTTGTACACAGTGGAAATAAACATTCTGGTCACCTCAACATCAGGGATCTTATACATTAAACTCCTTCTGAATCAAACCGTCACGGAAGCCTTACCTTACTGTTCCCTCTTAAAATAGAAGAAAACACGTTACTTTACCAGCAGAGAGAAAATGGATTATTAAATTATTAATGTGACTAATAAAGAGCAGTTTGATTATTAAGTATTATTCTGTTGATCGATGTCATTACATTTGTTGAAAAGCACATAAGGACTTGTTTAAGACTCGTTTTGCCAAAGTTTAGGACTTGGACTTGACTTGAACTTGCCCATCCTGACTTGAGACTTGACTCGGACTTGAGCGCAAAGACTTGAGACTTGACTCGGACTTGAGCGCAAAGACTTGAGACTTGACTCGGACTTGAGCGCAAAGACTTGAGACTTGACTCGGACTTGCAAAACAATGACAACAATGTCCCATCTCTGCTTAATAGCCACATGTCATGATTTATAAGTATTTTGTATGGAACAAAGTCTGGTTAATTACATTTGACTATAACTCAACATCAAATGAACATTTTAAATGAATTAAGTAACCTTGTGTAAGTAATAATCAAGTTTTCACTTCAATAGTGTATTAGTTTTTTATTCAGACTGAAAATGCAACATTCCTATAACAGCAAGGAATGAATCGATCAGCGTCGGGTTAAAGTTGTGTTTATCTATTTTGCCACGCAGACACATACAGGCAGGAAAACAAAGTTATCTTTATCTCTAGATGTGCTTCCAGTAATCATGTCTAATGTTGTCCAGCTCCATCAGGATCTGTGGAGGACGGACAGAGGTCAAGGGCGAAGAAGCGGCGGCGGCTCTACAAGTCTGAGTCGGAGACTTTCAGCCCCCCCCCTCTGCAGCTGCCGCCCCAGACCCACACCGACATCCGGCGGCCCCTGGAGGCCAAGCCCTTCCCCGCCGGCATCAGGACCATCGGCAGTTTCCACGGCGCCATGACCAACAGCCGTCTGAACCAGCACCTCCTCCAGGCGTCCTTCTCCAGCCCCGCCGCCCACAAACAGGAAGTGCAGGCGGTGCAGCGCGTACAGACGGTGACGCACGGCAGCATCGCAGCGTTCCGCCAGCAGAAGTCTGCTCACTGCGCCCCCGCGTCACAGAGGGGCCGGCGGAGGTCCCTCTGCTCCCCCGTGTTCTCCCCCCTGGTGGTGGGAGGGGAGAAGTACAGCCTGGCCTCCCCCTCAGTGAGGATCTGCACCGAGGAGAGAGGCAGGGTGCAGTTCAACAGGTTCCACCACCCAGCAAGGTGAGATATCACGGAGGAGGAGGAGGTGCAGAAATCTCCTATTGTCGGTGGATATTGCATTTATTTGTCCTGCCACCACTAGGGGTCACCAAAGTCTCTTTTTTAAAATCTTACCAGGAATGTTTTATTCACAATTTGGCAAATGTATCTGCTATTAATAATCAGGTACATTTTTAACCAATGAATCATTTATAATAATCAGAATACTTTATTTATCCAGGGGGAAATTGAGTGGGCGACAGTTCCTCATTTTAGAATAAATTGAAAAGAAGTACGTTTTTGTGCCATAAAAAAGAATAAAATATAGGAAGTTTACATAAAAAGGTGCAATAGACAGGGTTCGTACGGGTGCTGGAAATCCTTGAAAATGCTTGAATGTGTTTTCAAGGTTTGAAAAGTGCTTGAATTTTGGGAATGGTGCTTGAATTTGGGATAAAGTGCTTGAAATTGTAAATGCTTTACTTCGCTTTTTAGATTAAAAGAAAATAAAGAAGTCGGAGCGCGCTTAATGCTTCGCTTTTACATAAAACAGCTCCGCTCCGGCCTTCCCGCGCAATGCGCGTGACCGGCAAGTGTTTTTGTTACGTGTGTGACCCATAGACTGTATATATAAAGGTGTGACCTGGGCATTCTGATGAGTGATAGATGACAGTATGCCAGGAGGTTGTCGTGTCAACGAGCGTTGGCTAGCAGAAGACAAATACAAGCCATGGCTAAGACGAGGGTCAAGCCCAAGAGTAGCCTCCTGCAAAGTGTGCAAACATAACGATGCGAGAGTCTGCGCTGATGAGCCACACACCACACGAAAGGAACGCCGTAGTAGAGCATTTTAGATTAGGCTAACGTTGCATGTAAAATACATGACACTTTTCTCAGTGCGCGACAAAACAAGCTCGCCAAAATGGCTTCACTAGTCTGGCAGTATTTTAAGTGTCCGAAAATGACAATAAAATAGCTGTATGCAACGTGTGTGTGAAGCAGAAATCCTGCAGCTCCACCCGCTGTGACGGACCGGTGAGCGGAGCAGAACACACATTAAGAGTTAGACCTAACACACTTAGCTATTTTATCTACCTCTGGAACAAGCTAAACTAGTTATAAATATGTTTATTCTTCACTGTCGGGTCGCTCATTACTGGATCAGTGAGCTGCAGGAGATACTGACGGGCTGTCAGGAGAGAGAGAGAGGGGGAGAGAGAGAGAGGGGGAGAGAGGAAACGAGAGCGCTTCCGCTCATTTCTCCCGTGTTATTATCCAAAGTTAATGTACACTTGAATAATGTACATCATTTGAATGTAATAATTATGTTAGTTGTTGTTTGTGGAAGCTCCAGTGAATGAGCCCCATTAACTGAGTTTTAAACATCACTTTAAATGGAAGATCCCCATAGGCCCCGCCCACTCGATCGGATCGGCGATCGGTATCGGCCGATACTGATTCCGGCGATCGGCTCCAAAATTGGCGACCGGAGCATCCCTAATAATTGTATATGATATGTTTTATAATGATTGATCATGAAAGTGTTCTCAAAGCTGGTAAAGGTGCAGCTAGTTTGAATGACTTTGTATACTACAGAGTAGCTTGTGAATTTACTCCAGGTGGAACTAAAGTCTGATTTAACACTTGATTAGATTTCTCATCATTGAGCCACATCTGTAAAGTAACTAAAGGTATTAAATACATGTAGTGGAGTCAAAGTACACCATTTACCTCTGACTTGTGTTTACTGCCAACCTAAAAGTACCTAAAAAATAGTAATCAATAATGTATTAGTGTATATATATCAATAAGTTATTTGGCTGATTGTTTTATATTGGCTCAGCCAGGTTATATGGGATGCCCAGTCTACGTACAGATGGGTCACTCATTTTGAAATATTAAACTTGGTTTCTTTTCTTTAATTGTTCATCCTCATGTAGAATGCTATTATGAAACACACATTTGGTGTAAGAACCCTGAATAGAAGATGCATTTAATAAATAGACCAAACAGATCTACAAAATAAAAAATGAATGTAAAAATGTGCACGTTGCACTACAATATATAAAAAGAAATATATATTAAAAAATAGAAAGTGTAATCATAAGTCCCTGTGTCTATTTGAAGAACATTTATACATTATACTGTGACATACTTTTACTTTGGATTTTGTCAGATTTGAAAAGTGAATCCAAAGTATTAAAAAGTGTTGAGGAGGGTCTTTGTTAATATATGGCTAATGGGATGTTTGATGAGAAATCTAAGCCTTTAAAAAATGTTAAACAGTAAATAACGGTCTCCTTTCCTTTCTCCCTCACCTCTCCTCCTTCTTTCCTTTCCTCTTCTCCTCTCTTCGCAGTAAGCGACGGGGCCGGCCCAGAAAGAACCCGCTCCCCCTCCAGCCTTCCCTCCCCTCTCCCTCCTCCTCGTCCTCGTCTTCCACCTCCTCTGCCTCCTCCTCCTCGGGCTCCTCCTCTTCCTCCTCCGATGAGGACGACGATGACGAGGAGGAAGAGGAGGAGACTACAAGCGGCGCGGTGGAGCCGTGCGCGGCCCCCCGCTGCCGCCTCCCTCAGCAGGACACGGTGCAGTGGATCCAGTGTGACGTGTGTGACGCCTGGTTCCACATAGACTGTCTGCACGTGGACCGCAAGAAGCTGCTGAAGGACCCCAACGCTGACTTCCACTGCGGCTGTCGCTGAGGGGGGGGGGGACACTGGTGGTGTAAAATAAAAGGCCCCAGTTAGACTTTCCACATTTACCCCATTTAAATCTTTATTTCCTTTAGCCACACCCGTGGAAATCCTTTTATTGAGGATGCTAATGGCAGGAAGAAGTCCCTGATTACTCCAGCCTGATGTCCCAAGTTTGAGCGTTTGTAAAAGTCCGACGGCAGCTCCATGAACCTGCTGTCTGCTCAGTTTCAGGGCTCAGGCTTCGGAGAACAAACTGTAATGAAATGTCTCAGGCGGGATTTCATTATGGCTTTGACTGCCTGGAGAGGTGCGGTCAGGGCGGGAAACATGATGAAATGTTTCTGAGCAGCGTGGCTGTCGCTGACCAGAGGCTAGGGAGGCTGATGGAATGTTTCAGGTCCACGCACATTCAACTTTATCGGATGTCTGCCGCCTTCACTGTTTTAGCGGCGATTGTTCAGGGCAGAAAGGACCTTCAGTGGACATTTACGGGAAAAAAACCTTCACACCCATTGGGCTGTTTCTCCCCCCCCCCCCCCCCCCCCCCACAGTCGTGATGATAAACTCTATGAGATGTCTGGAGTGCAGCTGTCTGGGAATCAGCGTACGTTGCGTCAGGACAATTCAACGGCAGGAAGTGCGTCAGCAGACTTCCATTGTGGCTGCTGATGAGAGGCGCCTGAGGATAATCAAATGTTTGAAGGCAGGAGCAGCCGCTGGAGTGTGTGTGCAGCTGTTGCTGTCAGGCTGACAGTGTGGCTGCTGCTTTGGGAGCACTCGTTACCAGGGAAATGTCATGAAATAGCATCCTCTGATTTTACAGAACAAACAGATTCAGGAATCATCGTCAGTGATGTGTCTCCGCACACTACTGAACTCTTAGTGGACGCGTTCCTCCTGACTGAACTGTGACTGTACACATATCTGCTGCTTGAGTTGGAATGAAATAAAAAAACTCCAAATTCTCTAAAGCACCTTTTCTATTATTTAAATCTGATTTACATGGACAAAAACTGTCCTTTTTTAAAACGGCAACGTTTACCACCTTTTCATGTAATAGACTCAGTTCAGATAATGCTAGTGTTTATAAAAAGAATTCTGGGCTGATGCTGTGTAAATAAGCGTTTGTTTTTTGATCTGTTCAAGGGAGAGGAAATGTAGATTCTTGAGCAATAAGATATGTATTTTTTGAAAACTTGTAATAAATTAGACAAATGATTGGTTACAGTCGATTCAAATGTTGTTTCTGTGTAGTGTTTTGCATGCGAGTAGCTGTCAAAACGCTGTCACAAAATAAGCAGGAAGTTGACAAAAATCACTGGTTTGGGATCAGTTTCTTTTTTAATTTAGTTGATTCATCTTAATTATTTTACAAGTGAGACCCAACAAAGTGTTCTTTGAGATCCATAATCCTGTGTGTTTATGGACTTCTGTGTATGATAAATGCACTTTCATAACATTACAATGGAAATAACCAACATGTATTTTGTATTCTGAGGAAACACCACTTCATTGCAGTACCACAATATCAACTATATAGAAGTTAACAAAGAAGCCTAATATCATACAGTGTTTATTTTGATGTAAAAGGAAAACAAAATAGTCAGGTTTTCTCTGTTAATTGTGTTTTGTTTGTCTCATCACATGTTGCATATTCTTTTTGTCTCTTGGATTTTGAGCTTTTTAAGATATTTAAATGTGTTTTTCTATGTCTTCCTCATCTCAACCATCTTCCTCACATTGTCTCCAGCTTCACGTGAAAGTCTTAATGAAGGATGTATTCCCAAGCTGCAGTTACACGTGTGCTTGAACATGTGAACTGTCGCTGAGAGTGCTGGGAGAATTGGCAGTGTGACAACAATGGAACAGAGAAAAGGAAAGCAGCGCTAAAGCCAAAAGAAAAGCCATATTACGTGCAAATGACTCGGATGGTTGTAATCAGACATGCAATGACAAAGAAGCATCTCTCACTACCATTTGTTTACATTAAGTTCTCATTCTGTCAAAAATAAATGTGAGATGGACAACTTTCTATTAAACCTGCGGGAAAAATATATTCATTTATTAAGCAGAAATCTGTCCTACAGTTTATAACTTACTTACATTTTAAGAAATGATTTGTTTACAAGCAATGCATTACAAAAAAGGAAAAGTTAAAACTCAAGTAATTAAATAACAATTTCTGTTTTAAAATCATTGTATATTTATGTTTACTAAAAACAAGCACTTCTGGCTGCTCATGGGCTTTTCTCAGAACGTTCTGAATTGAAGTAGATTAGTCGTCAGTTGACCAAATAAATCTAATATTTGACAAATCATCTGTATATTGACAACCACATTACTAACAGCTCTTTGCAAATCTGAAATCTGTCTCATTTACATTGCCTCAAAGACATTCAACCTCTGATAGATGATATCCAGTGTGCGATCATAACTCTGTTGAATGTTTCGTCAGCATATTGGAGCCTTATCATTATTGTGTTGACTGTACAAACTCCTTGATACCGGACTCTTAAGCTTGTGTTTGTTTCCTAACTCTTGCCATGTTTGATCTGTCCTTTTCTCAGCTCAATACTGAAACCTCACTGGACTCTTTTTTTACGCTCTCACTCTAACCATCACATTTAAAAGCAGAAACACTTTTGTTTTGCGGGGTTGTACAGAATTGTCATTTTCCTCTGAGATGCCATCAGCATCAAAGTTATCAGGGAAGAATTAAAGAATATTTTCAAAATGGATCGTTGTGTTGTCTGTTTTTCACCCCATAGCTTTGTTTTCCCTCTTTAATCCAAAGACGATGCGATCTAAAACACATTTCATTTATCTTCTTACGCATCAATTCGTGATTGATGGAACATTGAAATGAGAAATTTACATTTCGTTTTCCTCCGGGCTTTTGTGTCTGTGATCCCACACAGATGTGATGTGTGTCTGCTTATTACTTTTATTGTTGTTTTCCTTGAAATGATCACAGTGAGTCAACAAGAACAACCTCATCCCGAAAATGAAGCCCATTAAATCGGCTTCATTTACGAGGACGTCTTTCTTTTTCTTAAACTTTTTAATGGATTTCTCTTATCTGAGCTCATGCATGAAGTCACATTTGCTCACAGAATTACTGCTTACAGCATTTCTAAATGAAGCTTGCACATAAACTGATTGGTGTGTATTGTAATCAGTCACCATAGCTGTGAGAAATGACACTGTTGTTTTGGAGAAGCATCATGTGCATAGTGTTTCTGTCCCTTCCCTCGTAATGGTGCAGAGGCTGACATATGTCCCTTTATAATTACCTGCGTGTGCTATCTATCGTTGATCAATCTGTTATTAGATAATCTCCTAAATATATGCACCTTACAGCTCATTCAAATGGAGAATTTGCAGCTTTCCTGTTTACAATCATTTTATATTTTTATCAATTAAAAACAAGCGGTTTGAAGATGACACCTCCGGCTTCAAATGGGCTTTTTTCACAACTTTCTGACCTTTGAAAGCGTACATTATGATTATGTAATCAGTCAATCAAAGTTTAGGGCCACAGCAACAGGCACAGCCACGACTCAGGATCCAGGAACACAGCAACATTTCCAGGTTCATAATAGTATTCTTACCCCTACTTTGACATGTTTTCCTGCTTTAAAGGTGGGGTAGGTAAGTTTGAGAAACCGGCTCGAGATACACTTTTTGTTATATTCCATGGAATGCTCTTAACATCCCGATAGCAATGAATATCTTAAGTGCTTTGACAAAAAATCCATAAAAAAATGTCATCTGTGGAAGCTGTGGCACTGTAAAAAGCACGACCAATCATTTTAGCCGGCCCGGCTAAAATAACTGGATGGCCTACCTGCCTGTCAGCCTTCCATCTGTGCACAAACTTATCTCGTGCCCTCATTGGTCATGTGCGCGTTCGTGTGTGTTGGAGGAGGGGCTCTGTAAGGAAGTGGCAGATTTTTTCCGGCTGTGTATTTTCAAATTCTAGCGTACTCGAGCTGGTTTCTCCAAAATGACCTACCCCACCTTTAATGTTCAAAAAGCTCTTTATTTTTCTCATGTGCTGCAGCACCTCTTTCCACTGATCTTAAACCAGATTTTTGTACTCACACATCAAAATATCTGAGTACTTGCATTACTTACTAGCATCTAGCATCATGGATACCCAATATCAGATGGATGCATACATCTGATATTGGGTAAATGATGCTTGCAAATCTATCTAGTTGTGAATCTTCTGTGAACTAGTCCCATGTGAGGTGTTGACCTTTGACGCCGAAGCATTTAGACTGGTTAGTTAATTTTTTGTAATAACTTATTGTAATTATGTTATTAAATAGTTATGAAGAAGCTCTGAGCTCAGTTTTTCTCAGTTTCACCCAATATTTATGTCCGATTTCACTTATTTGACGATACATGTCGATACATTCAGGGAAACTTATTTTATAATTCATTCAGTGCATAATCCATATAAATCTTGACTCACTCACAGCAACATTTGTCAAATACCCAAGACATCCTGAAAAAGTACGACAATCCATATGTACAAAACATCCATATGTGAGGCTGAAAAAGAAACTGCAAAAACAACAACATTACAAAATCCCAAATCTTAAGGAGGTCTTGAGAACTAAAATATAGTTTCATTTACAAACCTTAGGAAAAATAGGGTTGTTTTTTCTTCCATTTGAAGTCTGGCTGTGATTTTCTCCAGCGTTGTAAAGATGCAGCTTCTCATTCCCCAGCAAAATAAGCTGTGAGCATATAGAGGTTATGTAATCAGCTTATATATCATGCAGCATGTTTGTAGCTCACCGCTCCAGAAACCTATTACACCCTCTCAGACCGCTGGGTAGAAATACAAAGATTATGGAGCTGAAATGCCCGCTGCCTTGACCTGCAAAGGTGGAGGGAGACAATTACATTTGTCCGAACTGTTTCCATAGCAACATTCCTCTCTCTATCTTTTTTTTAAGGGAGTGAAGTGGCATTTTAAGACTCCCCTCAGAGCTCCATCCTGTTATAACAGCCGGCACCTTCTCTCCCCTGATGATGCATGGAGGCAGACAGAGAGACGGAGAAAAAACAGATTTGGTTTATTTGAAACTGAGGTGGAGATGTGTGTGTGTGTGTGTGTGTGTGTGTGTGTGTGTGTGTGTGTGTGTGTGTGTGTGTGTGTGTGTGTGTGTGTGTGTGTGTGTGTGTGTGTGTGTGTGTGTGTGTGTGTGTGTGTGTGTGTGTGTGTGTGTGTGTGTGTGTGATGGGTCTCAGGGACACAGCAGGTATGTGTGAGTGTTGGTGAGGGAAGAGGTCACATGGAGATGAAAGCAGAGGGCTGGAAAGTGCCCATAGTCCTCATCTAGCAACTCTCACACACACACACACACACACACACACACACACACACACACACACACACACACACACACACACACACACACACACACACACACACACACAACACACACACACACACACACACACACACACACACACACACACACACACACACACACACACACACACAGGGGTCA